AACACACACACACACACACACACACACACACACACACACACACAAAACCTTTTAACCCAACAAGCATGACCTTGGGAGGAATCCAGAGCATCTGGGGAAGACCCTGGACACAAGGAGAACATACAGAAAACTCCCAGCTCTGGTCACCCCAGGTTGCATTTGAAATCTAGACCCAGGCACTGGGAGATAGCAGAGCTCACCTCTATGCCACCCTCTTCCAACCTGCCAGGTGCCCCTCCATAATGCTGTGTTGTCATGCTAATGTACTGTACTGACATCTTATACTTATAGCGTGCTGACTTTGAACTCCACCTTGGACAGACTGGACTGTATAATGTTTAGAAATTTGGCTGAGATTTCCTGCTTCTCTTTTCTTTTTCTAATTAGTCAAGTAGAACAGGCCTTTATGCCAAGTGGCTCAGGTGGTTAACAATGTGTTTAACAGCTGCTGCTGCAGAGCCACCTCCAAGCAGTAGGCTTGAACTGGGACCCTCCAGGTAACAAGCCCTTCTCCTTAATCAGTATATCCCAGAGCCCAATTAAGAGAGTGCTTAACTGTTTGAAAAATGATTGAGTCACACCTTATTGGGTCTGCGCTTGCATTCCCTATTTCTCTGCACTAACCGTCATGATTATTCTTTTGATTCCAAAGCCTGTAAAACAACAAAAACAAAGTACAAATAGTTTTAATTTCCAGAAATAAAGAGTTCAGGGATATGTCTGCTGCACAGGAGATCTAAATTGCTGTGTGGAAGCCTTAAACAACTCAGACACCATCAGGAGTTAACATATACTGTATATATATAATAAATATCAGCAAGTAATTCAAAGCCTCCACTAGTATTTTCTATAAGGTGGAGTATATGAATTTTGACTGTTATAAATACATTTTCGGTAAGAGGAAACCGAGCTTGCCATTTTATAATTATTCATTTGCATTGGTCAGTATCTTCTTGAGGACAAAAGCTGGACTGTACATCAGCAATATGAAATGCTGAAGGAAGTGATGCATGACATTTGCCAATCAAATCTGATTAGCTCATTGTCACGTTGTCTGTGTCATTGACATCATGTGTTTCCCTCTACACATCCATTAAGCAAAAAGGCTATTTTTGTACTACAAAATACAGTTTTATCAGGATTACCTCCATCCAGTTTCAGTCTGCATCTGCTAGTGAGGGTCAGAGCTCAAGATTAACTGCTGTCACAACAAAATGACCAAAGATTCAGCAGAGGCTCACCATAGGATTATGTTTCTACAAAAAAACACATCAACATTCTCTGACATGGGTAGAACACTGTAAACTGTTTGAGATTTCAGCCTAGCAGTGAATTAATCCCTTAGTTAATGCAATAAACAGTAAGCAATCATGTTAACACTTTCATGTTTCCAATATCTGGCAACTGCCAGTCAGATATCAAACAGCAGCTGCTACGGTTTAATTTATTTTCAGACTCTTGTTTTCTGTGTAAAATCCAGTATTTCCTATTTTAATATTTGTGAAAAGTATTCAATAAAACATTTTAGGAATCTAACCAATGACATAGATTGAAAAAGCTTTATATATCTTTATATATCTCTTGTCCAACGGCTTGACACCCATTTAAATAAAGCTTCGGGAATGTCTGCTTTGTGATACATTTATTATTCAGAACCCTTTTGTGGACCTGGGGCCAAGATATTAGAAGCTAAAAACTGTAAACTGTGAACACTGAGCTGTTCCTCGTGCTTGCAAGTGAGAAGTCAGAGCATTTTGTATCCTAATTTGGCAAGGACATGCTGTGTCACCAGACATTGCTTCTGTTTCCCATTGACTTTTCCTTTGCCAGCATTGGGGGGCACTGCCTACCCACTCAGGTGCTGGGGCATCATAAGAAAAATCCTAAATATTCCATTCTTTATATTCCTGTACATCATTACTTAATATTCATGACCTTCATTATTCAAGACCTTTCTCGGAGCTTTCCTAGGCTAGAATTCTCTAGACAGTTCCGCTTCACAAGAACTATCCCAGCAGCTGCAACAGCTAGGAAAGCAGAGAGACTTGTGAAGCGGAGGCCTACAGAGCAAAGCTGTGGAGAATATTAACCGCACACATAAGAGAAAACAGCACTGTAACAGCTTGAACAAAAACTAGGAGAAGACAACAGATTTGAAATTTCACTGGGAATAACATCACCCAGTACATTTATTGAGACGTCAGACATGAGAAGCTTTGGCTTAACTCTCTGGGCAGAGGGCCAGCTGCCTGGCTAAAGGGCAAGGAAGATAGTGCTCTCACACAGAGAGAGAAGCTATCGAAAGGGACGTGGAGGGGTGGGGGTGAGGTGGAGACTTACTGTGGTAAGTGACCTCATGGATAATTACGAGTTAAAGAATCAGAGGTGAGGAAGACCTTGGCAGTCGTCGTCCCCCCCCAAGTCTCATTTGAAATGTAGTTAAAATGCAACAGCAAAATGCAAAAAGAAATACAAAATATGGGTACTTCTATGCACAAAAAAGAAAAAAAAGAAACCCGAACAGTCTTCCAGATAAGAAAAGGCATCTGACAGTTTTTGCACTAGCAAACGATAGTGTTCCTTTTTTCAGTGTTATCTTTTTCAATAGGAACAGTATCTGGGAATGAATACAACCAAATGCCTTCTGTGGATATCTAAGTATGTTTCAACAAAAATGTTTGAGGTGCAGTTAGATCTGTCAGTAAAAGCCACCATGCATGAAGATTCATAATTATTGGGGAGCTGTCATCGTAAAGGAATACAAACTTTATTTTTCTTATTTTGAACAGGAGACACCTATGAACTTTGTGGACCCTAAGGAATATAACATCCCTGGTGTTGTTCGGAAGAATCGATACAAAACAATTCTTCCCAGTGAGTAGTTCCTAGTGCATTTGTGTTTTCTTTGTGTTAAGAGATGCTGAACATCATTTGTTTAAGAATGTTAAAAAAGCATATTCTCTATTTGCGTGTTTAGTCCTTTTTCTAGTGTTTTTGTTGTTGGCTTTCTATTAATTTGGATCTCCTGTCACAACTTATTAAACTGACAAAACAAAATATGTCATGACAGGCAGCTCACAACAGGGGTTTATCATGAGCATTGCTAATAGCTCTGTGTGAATGTGATCAGATTGTACAAAATCGCTATCATTGAGGGCCTCCTCTAAAAAAAAAACAGTTCACAAACCTAGTTTTGCATTTTTGTCTTCCTGAAGCATGAAGATCAAAAATGTTTCAGGAGTTCTTTCTATTTTCTGTCTTTATAGCTATATTATACTTACAACACAACCCTAATGATGTTTTCTTGGTTGGAGGATCGAGTACATTTCCTTTAAATAAATATTCAATGAAGAAGACAAAGTCGTTAAGCAGACCAAGAAATAAAATGTGCTTATTATTTAGCTGACAATTATCCACTTAGTACTTGTGATGCATTGTGGTTACACATGGAATACACCTGGGGTGCCAACGAACCCTTCCAGGGATGACAACACGCAATGCATGGTGATCTATTTCAGTTTTCATGAGTATAAAGCAGACTATCTAAAACCACCAACTTGTGATACAAATTGTGCATTTTCAGAACATCTGCAGACAAAGATACATGGAGCCAGCAATATTTCAAAAGAATTTGCTTCTCTGGTCCATCAACAGTTTTCTAACTTGGCCTGAGGCCAGCCAGTGGGTCCTGTTTTCCCTGCTGGTGGTTGTCCCTCTTACGGCCCATGTTATAGTGATGCTCAGTCTCTCTAGAGCTCTGTCTCCCTGGCTCTGTCCAAGCCGCTCCTAGAAGACATGTGATTGAAATTGGGGCCGTAGTTCTCCAGGTGTCTCGGTCAGAGAAGTCATAACACTGTCTCTATGTCCTGTAGGACACACTGGTGCAACCATTGCTTTATTGCACACTTTAACTCTGGCCACCCAAAACAACTCTGGTCTTTACCTATGAGAGTCGACCCCTAGTTTGGATTTGAAAGAGTAACTTTCAGGAAAAGTATGTTAATGAGCATCCCTGTCAGCCAAGGTCTTCCCAAGACTGGGAGAAGAGCTTGGGGATTTCATAGGGCTTGATTTCATAGCCTTGCTCAGTGTAGGTACAAAACCTTGTCCAATAGGGCAAGAGCATGAGGACATTTGTTTTCAGGGACAGAGGGTAAGTAACCTGGTAATTTCCTCACACACATGAAAAAAGCAAAATCATTCTGCTCACATCTGGGCCAGAGCTACAATCACGGTGCTCCTTAGTACCGTGGTTTTAGTTAGTATGGTGCTCCTTCAGGAAAACAAAAATAGAGCCTGCAGGGAAGAGAATTGTTTCAGTTGTAACCAGGATTCATACATGATAACGAAGGTCAATACAATACTGTGTTTTTCAGATACTCATAGCAGAGTCTGCCTTAAAGCAACTGATGAAGATGATTTTCTTAGTACATACATCAATGCTAACTATATAAGGGTAAGATTTGGTTTATTTTTCCAGAGCTTCATTGTAAAATGTTAAACATTCTTCTCTAGCGTGTACTGTATAAGGTCATGTGAAAGCAATGGTACATTGCTTACAGTTAATGGGTTACCAAATCTGTAGTTTTATACGAACAATTCTGCGGGAAAAGGAATATGTCCCAGCCAGTGGTTGTCCAGTTGTACTTACCCTTCATCAAAGCCTTCCAGGCCCCTCTCACTGGCCACTTCACTTACAGTCTCTTTGTTGTCTGCAGGGCTATGGGGGACAGGAAAAAGTCTATATTGCAACTCAGGGGCCCACAGTTAACACTGTCAGTGACTTCTGGAGAATGGTATGGCAGGAGAAGTCTCCTATCATCGTCATGATAACCAACATCGAGGAGAAAAATGAGGTGCGGCCTTGCTGTGTTTGGTTTGAAAAGAGTTACAGGTGGTTATTTGAACTGCCTTTCAGCTGTTGTTCATTTCTTTATTTTATTCCACAAGTATGCTGATTGGGCTAAATTAAAAAAACAAAACAAAAACCTTGTCATCTCTCTCAAACTGCTTTGTACATTCTGTGACAGTGTGTGTGTGGCTGCCAGCACCGGTAAAAAGTCAACGCCCCAGGTGAGGGGACAGAAGCACTGGCGTGAGGTTAGCAGGGATCCAAAATAATACAAAAAGAGTAAAAAAAACTACGGGGGCCAGCCTTGGGAAAAAGAACTGCTTGCACAGCGGCAACCAGACTGGACTGACCCTATTTAGCAGGGTCCAGTCTAGTGAGCAGGGTGTGTAAGGCAAAAACAAAACAAGAACTAAATGCATAAAAAAGTGTGTGTTTGCCTGCCCCTGTGAAGGTGCATGATGGGACAGATAAAAAGAAAAGAAAAAGAAAACCTTAAGCAGGTGCAACCCCCTCCGGGACTCTCGCTGTAAACTCCCCCCTTCCGGGGCTGTCCCTGCTCGTCCCCTAGGGGGGTGTTCAATGTGCCTTTATAGGACCTGCCCCCTGCGTAAATCCACACACTGTGCTATAGCATCGATTCAAAAGCTCTTTGTTTAGTGTGGACAATTATCCTTCAAGGTCCAGCCTCTGCCACATTCTTCTAGTGTCAAAGGAAAATTAAGTTGTCCATAGCTGGGAGGATTATAAGGAAAGGCAGCTATAAATCAGAGGATGTAATTTGTCATATCTGACTTGTTTGGCTGCGAGTGGCTAATTGATCCAAAGATCTCATCCAGTCATGTCTTGAATGTCTTCAGGTTCATGTTTCGCTGTCAGTTCTAAAGAGGTCCGTTGAGTTGACTTTGCCTTTGAGAATGTTTTCTCTGACCAAGCCTACGTTAATCCATTTCTTTTAGCCTTTGAGAGGAGGCCTTTAAGCCTGAGAATGTGTCTGGTTGCTTTTTCGTTGGGCGGATTCTCAAGCAGTAACAATGTGGAATGTGGTGAACAGAATTCTATACAATATACTAAATTAATCCATTGTACAGTTCTAACATAACTTTCAGTTAGATTTGTTCTACACTTTAAGATACTATGTATATCCTAATATTCTATTTGCCTTTTTCCCATACTGACAAGACTTGTCAACGGAAGCATCTCCAGGCTCGGCTTATTCCATATTATATCTTTAGTTTATGTTTCTGCTACCCACACATAACACTGAGTGTCATCTTCCAGGAGTCTGCCCAACTGCTTGTGGTTTGTTTTCAAGGAAATATTTGTGTACCTTTATGACTGCACCTGCTATATATAAGTAGTGATATACTACTATGTATTGTCAAGATTTGTGTTGTATTGGAAGGAAATTAAATAAAAACCTTTTAACTCTTTGTAGAAATGTACTGAATACTGGCCAGAAGACAGTGTGACCTATGAAGGAATTGAAATGACTGTAAACCAGGTGATACAGGCAGATGACTACAGCCTGAGACTTATAACTCTAAAGGTGAGTAGAGGCTGACAAAAGCAAATAATCTCTCTTTTGTTATTAAACCAGGCAATGGGAGCCCCAAGGAACCCAATTTTCCCCGTGGGCAAACTGCGCAAATTGCCGATCAGATTTATTTGCTACATGGTGGACAATATACCCAGAGTTTGCCAACAGGGGAAATTTAAGGAAATTATATGTCTTATGTAGGCTGTCACACCTGCTGTGTGGACAGCTTACAAACTAGAGCGCAAGCCTATTTTCCTTCATTGTCTGTATATATATATCTTAAAATCTAGCTCTCTCTTGCACTTTGGAAGTACTGTTGTCATAGCAACCAACACATAAAATGGCTACAGACATAAAGAATTTGATTTGTGAAATATTCACCAGCCTGCGTCCAGGTACAGATTATTTAATGTTCTGCGTAAGTGAGCTGAATTTCTGTTTTGTTTAATTATTTTTTCATTGGTTGTGTGTTATTGCGGAACATGGCTTTCAGTCATACTTAGAAATGGGCTTTTAAGTTAGTAATTAAACCAAAAGGCAAGCCTAAATAAAGTTTAAAAATGTAAAAGGCCACCCAGCAGTGGTTCTTTGACATATGAAGAACCCAGGAAACAAGATTTCTCCTTCACATCTCAATATTATTCCTTTCCCTTGTGACATTTCAGGCCAAAACACGCATTCTACTATATAACCCTTTTTCTCTTACCTTTACTCTCACCGTGATACTGTAGAAATGTTTTATAGAGACCAGATCTCACACAAAACCTTGCATTCCAATACAATTTACCTTTTAAATCATGATATACTGGTGAATAATTTGCTCACGTTCCACCTGGGGGCCTATTGTAATTTTACTTCTCAATGGGTAGCCTGCCGCAAGTTGTAGTGATATTAATAGTGCTAACTAGGCCATTAGTATGGAATAGTGATTAGGGGTCAGGACTTATAACTAGAAGGTTATGAGTTCATATCCCAGGTGAAACACTGCTCTTCTAACCCTGAGCAAGGTACTTCAACCAAAATTGTTCCACTTCAATATCCAGCTGTAGAAATGGGTATAAATCTAAGCTGTTTTGGATAAAAGTGTCAGACTCATATTATGGAGCTGTGGTGTTTCTTTATTTTACAATTATTTTTTATAGTTTTTCATGGTACAGTCATAAGTGTTTAACAACTCTGCTTGTGTTGTGGGTTTGAATCGCCTATTAATTTTATTTTTCTGCCCTACCAATTTTGAACCACCGGTTGCTTAACAATTCGACTCCTCACATTGATCTTTTTAGTTGTATTTTCCTTAGAAAAATTAACTCTGGCTCTGGCATCTTACAAAAGAGTTAGCATTGAGTCAAAGACTGATGTGGCTCTCAAAACCAAACTGGGAAGCTTCGTGATGTCAAGATCACAAGGCAAACCTGGCAAACACTGGGCAGGATTCTGAACTTGCATCCTTAAACGCATACTCGAGAGACCTTTCTCAGTGCACTTTGGACAATCTGTTAGGAATCCCCATGGCTGTGCAGCAGGATCTGAAATTTAACACACCTCAGACACCTAGGAAACTCTTTTAAACTGGTTTGCCAAGGCTGCAGTCCTGAGCTGAACCGTGTGCCCGTATCCCTCTTTGCATGTGAGACAGAGCGAGGGAGAGGAGCGGGGTCTCAGACACTACTGGTACACATCCTGGCCAGATCAGAAGACCCCTGACAAGGCCCCCCCGCTACTGGAGCTGGTCCAGGAGGTGGAGGAGGCCCAGGAGCAAGCCCCTCCAGGGAGCGGTCCGGTCATCGTCCACTGCAGGTACATCGTCCACCACCGCACTGAGAGACATGCTTTCACACTGGAACCACTGCTGTGCACCACTGTACGTTGCTGCATACTGTACTCAGTATGCTTTTGGGTCAGAGAAAGATACTTTTATATTAGAGAATGGGATGTTCCATGGGAGTGATACATGATATCTACAGTAATGAGGATGGTCAGGGATATAGTGTATCCCTAGTGATTAGGAGTATAAAGCCGTAGCAGATAAGGCACAAAAGCAGGCATATCCAAAGTCAAGAACAGGGCTTAGACCTATCCATCCATTCATTTTCTAATTGCTTTATCCAGTGAAGGTTTGCAGGGTAGTTGGAGCCTATCTTGGCATGCAAGGGCGCCCTATGAATGTGACACCGGTTCCATCACAGGGAACGCAGACACAGACACACACCAGGGCCAATTTTCCCAGAAGCCATTTAAATTACAAGTATGTCTTTGGACTGTGGGTGGAAACGGCAGCACCAGGAGGAAGCCCAAGCGAACATGGGGAGAACTTACAACCGCTATGCAGATGGTATCTCAGGTCTAGAATTGAACCCAGGGACCCAGCGCTGAGAGGCAGCAATGCAAACCACTGCACCACTGTCCCACCGGCTTAGAATTATCCAAATGAACTTTGGTGGTTCTAATCACTTAAATTGTTAGGTAAAGAATCCTGTACATTAAAGCCCAAGAACTCCCTACTACACACACTCTCTCTCCACAAAGATATCAGAGCTCAACAATAACAAATCAGCTGGAGCCAGTTCATGAATTACTCAGCAGACCAGACTAACTTACAGCCTTAGGCCAAGAAGAAGATTTGTTGTAAGTGGAATAAATTTGAATAGATAGGCAACGTGTAGCCTGGAGCGCCACCAGTGAATCATTTCACTGTGGTACCAATGTAGTAACCCTACTTCATGAGAAAGCTGTCAAATTGCATCTCTGCACAAGAACTTCCATCTCTTACCCCAGAATCGTTTTCTCCCATTCTGGTTCCTGTTTGTTTCATTTGTTTTTGACATGCTGGGCTTCACTGGAGGTGCAGCACTGGGGCAGAAAGTTCACTTCTCAGCTGTCTCCTGTGGAAGCAAGATGGTACATGTTGGATCTTTCTGGTTGCCCGAGCTCAGCAAGCAGAGCTTCTTCCCCAGACAGGTTGGCCACCCCTGAGCAGAGCAATCAGATTAGTTGCCACCATGACCACTGGTTACCAAAAGCCCAGGTTACCAAAAGGTTTTATGAATGACCTCTTCAACGTGGTTTCCACCATATTTAGAGTTTGTTCCTTTCTTGGTACTTGGTATGTTGGGTCCAGCCCTTTGGTTAGGCAATAAGTAGCAACAGCCTTCTCCAAGCTGACAATTTAATGTCTCTCTGCCCATTCTGGTTGGTGCTCTCAGTGCAGGGATTGGCCGGACTGGCTGCTTTATCGCCACCACCATTGGCTGCAAACAACTGAAGAACGAGGGGGTTGTAGACATTCTGAAGACCACCTGCCAGCTGCGTCTGGACCGGTAAGGCCTTGGCACCTGACCATTACCACGGGCATTCACAGGGGAGGAGATCTGCATGAAACGATGACCTGCCAGGGGCTCTTCTCCAGGTGGCAACATGGATGATGAGACTCTAACCTGTGGTTCAAACAAATGTGGGCGAGATTTGTCTGGATTTCCCAAAGCGGAATCAAGCATATTTATCCAAGAAGAGCCACATAAAAGTAATTATAGCACTCTGATCTGCTAGAAGCTGTTGTTAATGTAGGTTAATTTTAGGCAAATGTGATCTTAATGGCCATCTTTGAGGGTCGCCTGGAATTTATTCCACTCGAATTCGTTTCTGTATCACTGCACTTGCAGGGCTTTATTCCCTGATTTTATGTTCACTATAAAATATCCCATATGAAGGCTCCCCTAGAAACAGGTGTAAAGAGGACTGACATAGATGCCGATCAATCAGTAGAGCTTGCGTTGAATGTGAAAAAAGTTTGAAATAATCTCAATGTCTTCCAGAGGAGGAATGATTCAGACGTCGGAACAGTACCAGTTTGTTCACCATGTCCTCAGCCTGTACGAGAAACAGCTTTCTCACCCCACGGAAGAATAACTCTCACCCTCTTGCCATCTGCCCTGAGAGCCTGGGGCATCTCGGATTCCAGCATACAGCCATCTCCTGCCTATCAAGTTTGGGTAACCCTGGAGACCCTGTGAGAACCCCCTGGCCGGACCCTGCTCCACTTCTCTTCTCTGCATCGCGCTCATTTCTACACATTTACTCATTAGTACTAATGAAGTGTGGAGGCGTTTATCTGCTCCTTCGTTGCTGGAGGGCCTTTTTGTAAGGTAAGGTGTCTCAAATGAGCACAGCACTGTGGTATTCCAGCCTTCAGCCACAAGACTGGGTGAGAACATAAAACGGGATCTATTGTTGAACTGTTTTGAAGAGAGTGCACACAACCCAGAAACTGAAATCGCTTTCCTGTGGTCACTGAAGCATACTGGCAAGTTTCAGGTTAAGATATACGTTTTGAATGTATTCTGGCAACTATTCACTCAGCCAAAAGGACATAAAGAATTCTAGCTCAAATGCATCCACCTTAAGGTTTCTTAACTCTTTGTTGCTGTTGTTGTTCAGAAAATGGAACTGATCCAATGCATTCAGCTTCAAATTTAAATGAGCACTAAGGAAAAAAATATGCGTGTATAAGCAAATGTGTTCAGATAAGATGAACTAGACCAGCTCAGCTTCTGTTCAGCAGTTTTTAACCTACATACAGAGTGACTTGATCCATCACTCTGAAGAAGAAAATCCACCATCATCATCATTCTTTCCTCGGTTCCAATGGCATGGATGGATTTCAACATCGGGATTTGTGCGATTCATTCACTGTACACCTGGACACAAACAATGAGGCCAACAAATGACTATAAAGTATAAAGCACATCCCAGTACTAAAACTCACCAAGGGAAGTCACAGACTTATACTGAATTCAACCTAACTGTATGTGTTTCAACTGCAGACAATACTTCACATGCGTGATTCTGTCTGAGGAATTGATGACGAGTTCTTTCTGTTTCTCATGTGTGCTTGAAACACTGTGCGAGCTGAAGGAGTTGCATGGGCAGGATCCCTGTATCAGCAGTCTCTCTCTCTCTGTGTTCTACATTCTAGCTGGGGGTTCTGCAATCAACAACATTCTATCAGATGCCTGAAATCTCATGTCTCATCAGCAGTTTCTGGTTTGGTACAATACCTTGTGTTGTTAATGGGTTGCAACTTTTCAGTCTTGAAGCTTGTACTTGGTAGGCCTCAAGAGACAGGTTAATCTAGCACATGTATTTTCTACACAATGGCCTTACTCTATGTCTGTCCGTCTCTATCCCTGTTCTATTTCAAGTGGCAGTAGCTGTCTTGAGTGTCCATGCTGCCTACAATGATTGAGGGAAACCTTTCTGCTTGTTAGCCCAAGCTCTGTAAAGCTAAAGCCTGGATATTAACAAAATTACAGCACCCCTATAGCTGACCTCCATTATATTGAGACAGGTCTAGTGATGAATTCTTGGACACCACAGAGGTGCTGTAATTCTGACCTGGAGGTGAAATGTTCGTCATTCGTGTGCCACAGGAGGCTTGAATAAGCAAGACGTATTAATTTTTTAATGATCAAAATGCCGATATACTGTATTTCAAAATACCATTTTTAATAGATATCATTTACCTGTTTCAGGTGATGACATCAATTATAGCTAGAAGAAATCACACCTGTATACCTTTAGCTCTCTTTAGATTTCTGAAAGAATCCCCATTTGTGTTGTACTAGGGAGGGATTATGTAAAAAGCTGAACTGTGATCCTGTTTTCAGATAATTTTTTTCAGTAACCATGGAATTCTTATCAGCACTTTTTCTATTAAGCAAGTGAAATGCAGTTTTTCTTTCACATTTACTTGATAAGCCTCGATATACAGATCATTGAAGCTATAAAGCAACACTAAGCACAAGACAGAGCAGACAATAACACATCAAGCTCTGATAGCTCAGCTTTGTGCATCATGCAGGACCTGTTTCACAGAGCAGTGTAGGTGAGTTATTAATCATACAAGTGGTGTGAGAATAGCAAACATTTCCAGTGTGGGGTTGTGGGAAAGAGGATTAGTCATGTCAGTACAGTGGAAATCTACAGTTATCTCTCACTCCACTGTCCAGGAAATGCAGTCTGTGATCTAAAGTAGAACAGCTAGCACAGCAGGACAATTATTCAGTCATGTCTAGGGAAGGAAAAATCAGCTGATTTAGGACCCAGTTATCTTTCTTTGTTAAGAGGTATGCTGTATACACACCCAATGTACTGTTTACACATTCAGTTGTCATGCATTGTGAAATATGACAAACTAGTTACTGCTCTGTAGCTGTAAAGGTAGAAGATATAGTTAGTCCCTTTTGTAACATGACATAAAAAAGTGTTTTCAGAAGTTACAAAATGCAACAGTGTTGTATGGTAGAGATGGTAATAAGATACTATGGTAACAAGATACTACTTAATGTTTCCCATCCGTCAGGGAGCTGAGCCAGAGTGACTAACTCGTTTATAAATCCACCTTTGCCACTTGTATCCCCAACCATTCTTTCTTCGTTGTTTCTCTACTGTCAGTACAGGCATGTGAACTGGAACGGACCCAGAAGTGTCCATCTGCTTTATCCATCTGTGCTCTGTGCAGCCGAATAGAAATTTAGCGCTGTGGTTGCTTTGCTTTTAATTTAATTTTTTAACGCCTCTGCATAACCTTTGGATGCATCTTGGGTGCAAAATGGAGGGTCATCCAAAAAGTTGTTTTCTTCTTAAACGTCTCCACTTTAACAAGAAACTGCACAATTCTTCTTTGTTTTCACTACAGTATGTCTTCTCTATAAATGGCAGTCTGAATACTTTACTAGTCCCAAAGCATAGAGGAGATAGAAGTAGGATCTGCAAGTCAATGGATTTCCAGATTAAACTGTAAAAACACACTGCTTAACTTGGAGATGTTGTGGCATCTGTGTGTACTTGGTCTTCAAATGCCCACCAGAGATTGCTGCATAAAATGTTTACAAATCTTAGCGACATTTGTAATGAAATTCTGGCAAAGTAGCAAGATAAACGAAAACAATTGATACTGAATGTTAAACCCCACACAGCATTTCATATTCCAGCACGTTAGCCTACCTCAGACAGAAGTAATAATGTGGAGGTCACAGAAAAAACAAGAAAAAACACATAGTTTTCTTCTACAGCTCATTCTGTCATGGCTATCTTGTTCAACCAACTCCAGCGAGGAGATCTCTTGGCTTTTCACACAAACGTTATTCTGTTTCTTTTGAAGGGTGAAATAAGTGTTTCAACCATTTGAAGGGAGCGCTTGAACATGACCAGCTCCCCAAACCCTCCCACCAAAAACAGGAGATAACTAATTTGGGCTTTAGACAGGTTTTATAATTGCACCTGTAAATGCAATTGAAGCACGTCTAGTTGCCAGTTTATTAAAAGGCGCTGATATGAAGTCATATCATAATAATGGGACCAACTGATAGGCATTTTGGTTAAAAGCATCAAATGAAACTGTAACATGATAAATGACATGATAAAATCTAGTGTGTGGGATTATATGGGAAGGTGTTCAGGTTTTCTCAGAGTTCTGGAACAGATCAGAAAAGGGGTACCATGCTTTGCTAAAGGACTGTGATCATGAAACAGAGCCAATGAAAAAAAAGTATCACGTTAGAGATACAGTGTATATAATAGATTTTTATTCTGATGGAAATGTTGGACCGGCCATTATATTATCAGATCTGGAGGACATATTCTACAGTACATGTGAGCTATAGTAACACTTACACAGGCAAAGAAACCAGCTTTAATTATGAAGCACATTCCAAACTGTTCTGATCCAAATCTGTTTGGTCTTAATCTTTCAAACTTCACTTTGTGACTGAAATGATTGTATTGCACTTAATTAATCCAAAACAAGGAGAGGGATCATCCATCCTGATTTTTGTATATGGACCCTCATGCTCTCTATCTTAATGATTTTAATTTTAAATTAATTTGTCTAAAGGCATTTGGCATATGTTTTTTATATTCTGTCAGTACGCAGACGCCTCACTGTTATTTTTAACCCAGAAATAGAAAATAGGTAAAGATTTAATTGTTATGTGCTGTTTGTATTTACTGTTATCAACTGGTTACCCCTTTGTAATCTTTTTCTAGCAAGAGTCTTTCAACATATTGCCAAAATTGACAGGTGATATTATCTCTTCATTGTAGAGAACACTGATCTACTGAAGAATAACAAATGTTTGTCAGCTGATTGACTGGTTTCTAGTAGTGGCAGTACATGTGCTTGTTGAAGGGGATGATCTTCTCTTATACTGACTAGTCTGTATGGTTCAGTGACTAAGGCTGCAGTGATAATGATAAGCCTGCACTTCATATTTCTATGGTCTGCATGATTTCTCTGTGAACTTACAAAATGCAGGAATCACAGATATCACTCAGTGAGTCTGAACACATTGGGAAACCACAGCAAAAGAGGTACAATCTTGCAGCAGCACAGTGTGATGCAAATCACATGTTGTAATCACAGAGCATGAAAACAGTGGAAAGCTTTGTAAGAACAGGTCATGGAGAATACTGGACACGCTAGAATCGAATGTGGTATAACCTGCCAGCTCATTTTTCACACTGCTAGGTCAGACATTTTGTTTTATCATTACTGAATATCAGCAAACCAAATTACACTCCTCTCTCAATTTGACTGCACTTAGTTGTCAAGATAAGTGCAGAATAATTAATGCACAAAGAAGTGACACTGTGAAATTTAAATTCATTCATCTGATGAAAAAGGAGATTTTCACAAAAAAGCTGTACATTGTTTTGTGAATAAATCTCCCAAATATCTGCATCTGTGAATGTTTTATAATTCCAGAGATGTTATTAGGCTAAAGAAAAAATGACATAAATTAAGAGTAGTCGTTTCTATCATGTATTGATAACATTATTAGAGGTGTACTACATACTGAATTATCTGTTGCATGTTTTTGAGCCATTTATGGTCCTTATCTTGTGCGGGGTGGGGGATAGAGAAAGAACCATTTTGTAAATAAAAGCAAATAATTAACAAAGTGCATACTGCTGTAAATAAATTACTGTTTCCACATTTATAACAGCAGGAGGGTACTGACATTCTCAAGTATAAAGAGAGCAAGATGAAAATATACATGTGAGAAAAAAAGGATTTATCAGAAAACATAATATTAATTGTTTTCCAGAACTTTTATTTAATAATTGCATTGTTATCCTAAGATGACAAGTTGCGTTTCTTTTAGATAGAAACTTAACCAGCCTCAGTTTTGAGAATTTTTGTATAATCGTCTAGTTTGGGGATATATGTTTTAGAAAATCTAGATAAAGCTAGGAGGCGTCAGTGGCTTCTACACACAATGAAGAGGCCTGGTGTACACAATACACAGTACAGTATATTCTGCTATCAGCCGAAACCTGAATTCGCTGCATCAAATGGGAATGTTTTAATATTTCAGAACCTACCAAAACAATTAGATTATTTTTGTACCTTGTCGGCAGTTGAGTAAAAAAAAGATTTATTGTTTTTCTGTTCTGTAAAGTGCTCGGAATATCTTTCTTTTCTCACTTTTTTCTTACTGTGTTTCAGAATGTTTTGTTGCTAGAAGTGTGTTGTGAATTCACAGCCATATTAAATTAACTGCTCTGCGCACATAGGTTGTTGTGACAGGCCCTCGATGTGGATGGTGTTCAGATAATGGCTACATTCACTTCCAGTACACCATAGTCTTGAGACTGCCTCATGCTACTCAGAATTATTGTGACTTTCACCTCACAAGTTGAAAGATATTCTTCTGCAAAAACAGCTGCTTCATTACTAGAAAGAGACAACTGATACATGAATTCAGTTTAGGATAGTTTGGTAGTTCTATACTTGGACACTTAGTAAGATATTAGAATACATATGTAAGAACATAATTTTCATTGTTTAATAATCGGAACATCCAGAATTGTGGGAATTATTTTTCAGTCTTTAATTTTTATTTTGGCTTGAGCTGAATACCAGTATACTTTCCTGCAGAACAATTATTAAAAATCACAACAGCCTGGGATGTTTCGATTATCCTTTGAAGACAGAACAATATCACATTTTTTTCTTTTGTAACATTAATATTAAGCAAAACAGTGTTTCCCAATGAGAAGTAAACTCCTGTTTCCATGTCCAAAGGCAGCTATGTAAACTGTGAACACTGTATGGTTTAATATTTATATATTTATTCATTTTTAATGACTTTTGCATTCCTGTTTTTAAGTGTATATTTTCTATTAGTTATTTCTATAAGATATCCTAGTTCCTGATTGCTGTAGGCGAAAGTAGAATGTTAATTTAATATGGCTTTATCAATGTGTTTTGTTTATCCTAAGTAAATGATAACATTGTTACAGGTGATAATATAGAAGTATCATGCATTTTTATGATCAACCCAGCCAACGAAAACATTTACAGCAAGCATTTTTATAGATACATGCCAATGTTACAGTAAGGATGCTTTTAATGTCTTTTTTTAATTCAATGTGAGATTACGTGTTTTGCATCGTAATAAAAGCAGACTTCAGTTTGTGTTTGTTCTTAATTTTATCCTAGTAAAATAGCTTGACAATACTCGGCAGGGGGAAAGAGAAGTCAGAAAGGATTTCCTATCTGTACCCCTCAACTCACCTGAGAGGAACATGGCCAACAGGTCAACACATTATTTCAATATCTTCAAGTTTTACAGAAATGCCTTTCCCATTTTTAACCATCATTTTCTTCTTTTTTTGTTGCCAAAATGAACAAATGTGACATTTTTCCTTTCTTGGACATTTTAGAGACAGCCAGCTCTTGCACTCTTTTCTTTCCTCTCTTCGCAGACGGCACACACGGTCCACAGCGGACGGTTTGGTTAATAACCGCGAGGCTACAGTTCGAGGTCCGCAATAGGCACTTGAGAGAAAGGTGGGGGCTGAAACGTCTTTAAATATTAATTTATTCTCTTGTACCTCCACAAAGTAGAATGAAAAGCTACTGACAGCTAATCGCGGTAGATTTAAGTTTGAGCACGACTAAAAACATCATCTGAACTTCTTCATAAACACTAAAAAACAAAATGACCTCTTACCCTCAATAAATCAATCCAGTAGAAGATGTAATCAAGATGAACAAAAAAAGATTCTTTATTTTCTTTAACTTGACAATAGTTATTAACTGCTGATTGTTTCTTCAGCAGTTGTCAGCAGAGCTAGAAGACTGCCTTGCCTGTTGAGCAGAACTGAATCTATCCAGGCCGAATATCAACCAAAGGTATTTCAGTCGCAGGAGAAGCTGAAGCTCTCCCTGCCATGCGAGTGGAGTTTGATGCACTTCTGACGGTTCCAGTAGGTTGCAATCCATGGTCAGCTCTCTGACTGGAATGTGGAGCCTCATGGGTCTGTCCAGTAGTTTCAAAACCGGATGGCACTCCAGTATTCAGAAAGTTTTTAAAACTGAAACATGACACACCAGCTCTCAATGAGACGTTCTCTCTATGGTCCTACAGATACATGTAAAACTGTACATAATACACATAATTACACAGGGAAACCACCCAAGTTTACTTTGGAAATAATATTTTTGTACTTTAGAGCTTTCCCATATTAGCCTTTCTTGTGGTGCTTTTCTAGTGTTTTTCCTTGTTTTGATTTCTTTAAAATAACGGTATAATAACATTATAATTAAACCACATCTTGTTGAATCAATTTAAGTAAATTCTTGTACACATTACACAGCTACAGAGGATTCAAAGCACAGTCTTATGTTACCTAAACTCTAAACCACCCATCTGAACTCTCATTAATTATTTTCAAATCTCAAGCCTGTTAGGGCTGTAGTCCCATGCATTTATTTTAAGGTTGTCCTATTTGCAGTTCCTCAGCTATACAAGGTATGGGAGAGAGATTAAATAAGTAAAATAAGATGAAATAATAAATCAGAAATATGCAATTGTAACAAAGCAACAGATAGCTTGAAAAGATGGGAAACCAAAAACAATGACAGGAGGGTAATGTCTTGTCCTTGTAAAAAGAAACAGCCAGGGAGGATTCGTACAAGCCTGAAAACTTCTGTTCTGTAATTACAGTACCTGGTTTTGACAGAGTCTAGGCGAGACAACATAGTTTGTCCAGGCAGACTGGCAGAAAAAGAAAACAAAACCTGGTAAAACAACCAACTGCAACTCAAGTGGGCCTAGAGTTTTGAGAAGGTCTTTAAAGCTACAGAGTTGCACTGTTTATGAAGGTATAAACAGAACAAGGCCAGAAAGAGTCTTATTGTGCCATCTACTGTACATGTCATTGATCTCCCTTCCTAATGAGACAATTAGCCAGATCTGGCTCTTGCATAGCAAACAACAATCCTTCATAGCATGTGGTAGGTGATAATTCTTTGCCTAGGAAGATCACAAAGACAAATATCACAACCACAGTAAACCCGTATAGTATCCCAAGAACCTGATGTTGATATACTGTACAATACTTTTGAATATTTACATTTATGCAATAAAATATTTAACACATTAAATACCACAGCAAAGTTTTCTACTTTAACTACTACTTCTACTTGAACTAGATTAAGAAACAGATTGATAGCAATAACAAAATTAGACTTCTGATCTGTAGAATTAGCAGCAGAACAGAAGTGCACAATGCATACTGTAGAGCAGAGATCTCAAATTCAGTTCCTGGAGGGCTTGATGTCTTCTGTACTCCCCACATTTTATCCCCACCGTTATCCTAGATGATTAACAGGTAAAAGGCAACCTTTAATTAAGTGAATGTTGTGTGTTACTATCTGTAGATGACCTTAAGAAAAATCTTTTGTATGTCTAATTTTGCTACTCAGGGTGGAACACCAGAACACAAAATGCCACACAGGAAGTCAGTTTGAGACCCCTGACGTAGAGAGTTTTCTGAAGGTGCAAGTATGCTGTCAGTGTTTCAGTCAGGAAACATGAAAACACCTGTCCCCAGCTTGTACCTGTTTCTCACGCTGCTCAGGGTCTGTCTAGCTTTTGCGGCAGGGGAGAAGGAGCTCCTGCACGGACACCAACAGAATAGACAGCACTTCAATAAAAAGACACATTTCTATAGGGAACAACACAGCAAGCAAACCTCTGCAATGACAAAAAAGCTGGAAATGATTCCATATAAACTTTTAAAAAGAGAGTTGAAACTTCCTGAACTTTCACGCATAAGATGCTCCACACAACGGGTATGGAGTGGTCAGATGGCAGACCTTGGTGGTGAAGCATTAGTCACTGGTCATTAGAGGATGAGTCATACCTGACTAACTCGTCAGATTAAAACCTGGTGGCTGGAAATGGGAAAAACGACTCATTCTGACACTGTGCAGTCTTGCAGGCCCCTGGAAAGATTCTAAAAGATGCATGTGCTATGACTGGTTTTCAGTATAGAGGATCTAGGTTGGTTTGTAAATAGTTAATGACAACAGCTGTCATTAGTATTGACTAGCAATTAATTTTCAAGATTATTTCCTGATCCCCATTCAGTTTAGTGTTGACTGTGCCCATGTTTGATAATGACATGGTAATATGGAGTATTTGGCCTCAGCTGGACTTTGATTGCAATTTAATGACAATTAAATCTCTTTTAAGTGGCAAAGGATGTATGTTCATGGGCTGTTAAACATGGCCTTCAATCATTTCCCTAATCACAAAGAAGAGGACTTTAAAATGATGCTTACTGTAGATATCAAAAACCTCTTCCATTCTCACTAACAATGTGGAGTTCCGACTTTCCAAAAGGAATAGTATACTGGTTTTAACACTGTTTCATCACCTTTCAGTTCACCTTTTCTTGGTTGTATTTTTTCTAAATACTAATGTAAATATAAAGGTTTCAAACTAAATTATGGCTGAACCACTCAGCAATATTTTTTTACTTAATTAGCAAATTAGTTATTTCCTTAAGTAATAAGTAAAATAAGTAAGAATATAAGTGAGAATAATTGCGAATAAAAATAACTTTAATTTTACCTCCACTGCAAAGAAGCCCTGAGTATGTTCCTATCAAAAAATCCCTACCAAAGAATGCAAAAAAAGAAAATAATTCAGAGATTTAAAGTAGCACATTAGGACATGCTGTAATATGTTCTATACAGAAACAAATACAAATGTGTATTTAAATGAAGGATAAAAATTGTAAACTGATCTGATCTTTGATCTATTTATTCAGACCAAAAACACTGGTATCTGGTTTTGATATGCTTTAAAAGCCCAAATACAAGATTTACAGCACATTTTATTTAATCACATCAGGCTAAAAGTAAAGTGTCAAAAGTTTTGATCATCTTCATTTGTTTCACACTCATCTGCTTGCCCTACACAGAAAAACACTGTGGAGTGGGCTTTATTGACTGTTGTATAGTACAGTTCAATTAAATCTAGCAAAGAGATAAATGCTCAAAATATCAGACTTTCATTGACTTTATAGATACATACAGAATGATTACCCTAGGTAATGACAAAGGAAGGTAATGAAAAAAGATTTTAATGAAGGTCTAGTTTTTAGGTTATAAAATAAAAGTGAGAAAGGTCTTCAACAGTAAAAATATGAAACACAGCTTTCCGTTTCTGGGTGTAAGAGGAGGAGCCTATTATGTGTGAAGGAAGACTGGGACGATGCAGTCCAGCCCTGCTTTAACTACAGCACAGAGCCACACTGCAGCCATACCTGAGTTAAAGTGTCAGAAATGGATGTTCCTGGAGAGAAGGAAGGTCCAGCTGCAACAGCAGCTTGTGCTCTTGGTTCCTAGGGAGTCACAACAGAGACCTTCCTCTAGAAAACTGTACCACTCTTTTTGGACATAGGATACTGGTTCTGCGGTCTGTGTCGCTTGCTTTAGAACTTTGAGAGCAATACAGCAGCTGGTGTGCTCCATAATGCTTTGTCCATCCATGTACTTTTTAAACCACTTCTTCCAATTCAGGGTTGTGGGGGAGCTGGAGCCTGTCCCGGCAAGGCAGGGTACACCCTGGACAGGACGCCAGCCCAACATAAGCCACACACAGACAGGGAGGAAAGCAGAGCACCTGGAGGAAACCCACACGAACACGGGCAGAACATACAAACTCCACGCAGGTGACAGACTGAACCCAAGGCCTCTAATGACTGAACCCTAATGCTTTTCTCTTCATTTCGAATTCAAGCACAGAAATAATCCGAGTGGATCTATGCATTGAAATGTGCAATTGTCATGTGTCGTAGATTAATATTGGAGAAGTCCTTGAAGACCTCATTTGAACAATAAATCTTGATTGTATGACCTATGCAGGGTGAATGTTTTAAATTAAATGTCAGGATGTAAAGAGGGACCGTATTGTTGAGGTGTATGAAGTGGAGCTTATCGATGTAGCACCACAGTAACATTTGTTCCAGCAGTTTGTATCAATGCATGTTCATATTGGTTTTTCATACTACACGCCATGTAGATAGCAGTTTGTATTGAAGTAGATGGGCAAGAAAGCAGAGCTGTGTTCTCTGTGCTATAGTTCTGCCTATTGCAGGCTACTGTATACCACTCCAAGACTTGCTTGGGTGTTGGGTAGAGCTAAATCACAGTGAGGCAGCTGAGCCTAACTCAGTAACAATCGTCAACAACAGGTGGTTATTCCATACTATTGGGGAACAAAGAGGACAGCAGAAAAATAATGTTGTTAGACATAAAACAGAGATGAGCGGATGGTACAAAATCCTACATAAACTCATACCGTTAAAGTATTGGCTTCCTGTGGGGATTCCAGCATGATTTTGCCAGTCTTGCCAGTTCCTTTAACATTCTCTCTCTTTGTCTGTCAAAACAATACCTCATTTTATTAAACAAATGGATGAAAACCGCCTGCTGCTACATTAGTGTAACTACTGTAATAACAGGCAAATTTAGAAAGAATATAAAGGTTAGAGATGCAGGACAACAGGATAAACAGAAACATTTCAGCTTCGATGGCCTTTTCCTTCAGGTGTCTGCACTCTTAAGATGAAGCCTTGTTGATTTGCGTCATATTAACTGTTTTTAAGGAAAGACAAACTGCAGTCTCATCAGAATATATAAAGTTATGAGCCTGCTTGAAACAGGCTATACCTAGAAGAGTCCACAATAAAATAAGCACTCTGAGTTGAGTGTTACTTATTTAAGTACCAGGCCAAGAAATGAGTTGCCTCAATTTGTTCAATCCATTATTGGAAAAGCATCCTGAAATATTACAGTTTAAAGTAAAGTGATGTAGATAATCACACTTCCAAAGGTGACAGATAATGTAGAAGGTTTTTAAAACACAGGCTTACAAGTACCTCCATAGCATTTCCAGCTGTGTTCATCTTAGTGTCCTTCTGCTGGTTACTCTTCTTTGCCTAAAAGATTTAAACAGGAATTTGCAAATGTTATCGGACTTGCTCACAATTAGTGTCATTACACACATTTTGAAAGAACATACCCATTCATCCATCATCAGAAAGCTGCATATTTCCTGTGTGCCTGTTCCTATCTGTGGGGTGCTTATTGCTACAGTATCCCTGATGTTGACATGTCGAGCCTGTAAGCACACAGCACAAGCTGGGACTACACCAACAGAGCGCCAGCCCACCACAGGACACATGCAAGCACAAGGGACCTATATCCAGCATGTTTTCAGGAAGTGGGAGGTGAACAAAGCACCTAAAGCAAACCCACATGAAGAGAACAAACTGCACACAGAAGAAGCTTGAACCCGGGACCCAAGTGCTCTGAAGCAGTTGTGCTAACTGCAATGCTTGAGTCCCACCCCATGTTGCAATGTACAGTAATTAATGCAGAGTGCTTTTAACAATAACGGAAAATACACAATCGTTATAATAAATTCTGCACTAATATTTTTTTATAATTTCAACAACTGCAGAACTGCAAGTAGAATTTTGTGCTGAAAATATTTCATAAAATAATTTCAGACTGAAATTATTTTTAACCCTTATAATAACTTTTTATTATATTATGCGCAATATAATGGCATTCTAATCTTGATTAAATGCACTGAAATTAGAGACACTTAACAAGAACTAAATGTGTTGTAGTGTAGTACCGATTGAGTTACAAATGAATTGGGAGATGTGGTTCAGATTATGTAAATAAATTGTATATATTCATTTGCAAATAACATTTTATCAGCACTAATAACCATTTTAGAACAATTAATGGTATTGACTTGTTCACTGGTTTAAGAAAATAAACGATCTTAAGAAAAGCTGTTGGTGTCTGGACTTCATGTGGAATCCCTCCTCTACAGTATGTAAAGCACTTTTGAATTCTTCGATATGAACAACTGTTATTCTAAAGACAGACAAAGAGTCAAAAGTGCAAAAATAGACATGCTTACCTCATGGGCTGCCAGCTTCTGTTTCTCAGAGATTGCTGTGTTTTGCCTGTCATCCCTTTTTGTCTGCACAGACTGAAATAAAGGGTCATTTTTTCGGGAAACGATGTTGTGGCATACAGATTATACCAGCTGATAATCACACCTAACAAACAGCCTGCTGGCGGTGTTTGTTTCCATTGAACATTCTGAGTAAAGGACACGTATTACAGGAATAAACACAATAAACGGAATCTGGATTACGGGAAGAGAAAAGAGCAGGACAGGTATATGCTGAAGTCTACAAACACAGGCAGAGAACGACCGCATAGCACATACCTCAGCGCAGCCTGCTCTGGCCCCTTGACTGCTTTTGTCTACGTTTCCAGTTTTAGGAACGGTGTCGTTTTTTCCATGCTTCTATCAGAAACAAATTGTTCATTACTTAACACATACAGACATCAAGTACTACTTTACTGTACAGAACTTCCATTTACCCCTAAATAAAAGGCGCTTATTATGAAACAATTAAAGTAAACAAGCCAAACCTAAAATTAAAAAAAAAAAATTTAATAGTCATGGGTTACTTGAAAATATTGTTATGATAGGCTTGATAAGGGAGTTTAAAATATTCCGAAAATGGAGGCAGAAATGAGAAATATTGTTGTAAGAAAATCTGGAAAAAAAGGAACTAAAATAAGACTTCTTTTGATCATCTTTGTTTATTGTTCGAAATTACTTCCACTGTACTGCCTTGTATTTATATAACTTCACGTGAACTCAGCAAAACCTGCTTCCATAGTTAGATTTATTTATTTTTGTTTCTTTTTTAAAGTGTACTGGAATCACTAAGAATTGCTTTTTTTGTTTACATCCAAGGAAATGATGTTATTTGTTTATTTTCAAGAAAGCGGTCTTTAAACAATGTGTACACTTTCTGGTTTCGGCATAATCAAGAGACTTCCCTTCCAGGTTGTTTGAAAGCCAAACACACTGTTATCAGTCACCTTCAAGGGCTTTGAAATCCCCAGCTTGTTCTCCTGTCCTGTCACACAAGCCTTTTTGTTTTTGTGAAAGACACTGTTTCCCCAGAAACAAGCACCCAGATTTTGATTTATTTACAGCTTGTTCCGACTGCACCTCCATGGCCATGTGGTGGAGCAGTCATCATTTCTTTCATGAGCTTCTTGGTTTCAGTTTATTATCATAACACAGCAACGCCCCATTCTTGCCGTGAACAATATCAAACAGAGGGATATTGGCCTTTTGGTGTTTTGTAAGGGTGGGAGAAAGGAATGAGATGTCAAGTCAGCAGTCCTGATGAAAATATATGCTGTATCTAGCAGTTACTTTAGACTTACTGATGGTTTAAGCAAGAATGTTTCCTGCTGAAAGGTGCTCTCCAAAGTCTCTTACCTGCACTCCAGGTTCGAGTCTGAGGTAGGAATGATACACTGCCAGTGCCTCTCCTACAGCAGACTGGAAAATATTCACTTTGATTTAGCACGTATACAATACAAATATGGTTAATCAACAAAACAACTCAAAGTTTGTTACTCTGGCATTTAGAATATACTGTACTTAAAATGTACCCACCAGGGGGTGTATTACTGTATCTGTATTACTGGCTATGTAGAACTAAGTGATAAACTTAATTTTATTTTTCAATGTTATAATGATATAAATATATATTTTTTTATTTAACCTGCCAAATTTAAACAGTAGATGGGTGCCTTTTTTCACACCAGTCTAAAAACAATCTTTTAATTTTTTTTACAGCAAATTGCCACAGTTTTACATGACTATTTCATGTCAACTTTTCTGAGATACTTCATGTTTAATATTTGCAAAGTTATATTATTTTCTTTTAATTTGGATGTAGGGTTGGATATAAAAAGCATGCATATTTGGATATTTCAAACGTTAGTGCATATCCCTCATGATCTATTGACACATGTCTGTGTCATTATGACTTATTTTGCATGACACTGCAATGTTATCCTTTAAAGTATTATAAAGCAGTTTCTGCAGTAAAATAAACTATGATTCAACCTTGAGAGAGCTGGCTATGTCCATACCAAAAGCAAACAGAATCAATACTGTTTTCATAGCATTCTTTTGTAATACAAATACTGTGAGGCTCTCAGGATGTATGTCTTGTATGTCTCCCTCACAGCTGGTGGCTGTGTGGGAGAGGACACGATACCTTAGAGGGGGTGTCTGATCCAGTAGCGCCGTGGGATATCTCAGTTCTAGTACTGGAAGAAGGTCCAGCAGACTGGGGAGACTGCTTCCACAATCAAATGCAAAGAGTTTGAAAATAGAAGTATGTCCAATGTGAAATCATTTAACTCTTTTAAGAAATCATGTGCATTTTCTGGCCCATTAAAAATGACCTTTTGCTTCTTTATCCTTTTTCTTATCTGTTTGTATGACTGTTTGATTGTTTTGCCTTTATAGACAAGTATGAGGCCTGTATTTCTGCAGAAGATCTTTTGGAAAATGGAGATTTGACATTATGTAAGAACATACACATTTAACACAGGCAACAATGGCATATACAGTAAAACAGACATTCTCTCGGCTTCCGTAAGATAGCCTCTGGATAGCTATCCAATTTAAAAAAGGCTGAATGGAATGCCAGCCCAGTTATGGCAGCAAGTCTGTGTTGAGGAAACCACAGTAGGCTGCTGTCTTCTCTGAATCTGAGGAGATAACACAATCTCCGCACCACAACAAAGGCACCCTAGCCTGGATTCAAACCCACAACCCACGACCCGTGAGGCAGCCACACTAATTGCAAAACCACACTACTTACAAGACAGCCTTGTAAATCGATATTTTAACACCTGCTGCTGGTTGTGTGAAGGAGGGGAGGGTACCTTGGAAGGAGTATCTGATCCGTTAGCATCATGGGATGTCCGAGTCCTCTTGGAAGAAGGTCCAGGAGCCTGTAAGAGGAGACGCTTTTCAATAACAGCAATAGTTATTACATCATTATTATTTTTATTAATGATAATTTCAATTAGAACCACTGTGAAGCTTTTGCCTCACTTATATTGAGTGTTCACATATTTTAATTATACTTCCTCCAAAATCAATCCCAAATTTCCTGAATACATGATATGCATAGGCTAGAAATAATGTGCATGTTTTCCCACTTTCTGTTTCAGTTCTATAACGGCTTCAGTTCAATGTATTTTTATAAACCGCCTTTCACAACAAGGTTGTCCCAGGGAGCTTAAAAGTACTGTCCTTTCAGTTGATAACAGGACGAGAAATTTATATTAAATAAAAATGTGAACAAATTAAAAGGCTCATGTAATGCAAGAAAGGTTTGTGAAATGTCAGGTTATAATTTAATCACAATTTGTAATCTGATTTTAAAGTTTAATACCGGCAGTGGTAACCTAATAAAATACCATTTTATTTACAAATGCTTTTCAACAAAGTCTAAAGAAAAACTGAAGAAAAGCATTAAGCTCCAGACAATGCGTGTTGACACTGTCGAGATGTGTTGTTGTGTACCCTTAACACTTCCAGTATTTTACTGGAAATTTACCTCAGAGGAAAAGTTGAGTCCATTGCTTTCTTTTCGAGCAGTGTCTTCACATTGCACAGAGCGAAGACTGTTTTCAGAGGATAGCTCTTTCTCCTAAAAACATACCAGGGAATGGAGTTTATTAGTATAACACTATTAAATCTATACACACATACTACTAATAATATTTTTATGGTTTGTGTTTGTTTGGAGGAAAAAGACACTCTTGTAAGCAGATATGTGCTACAGAAAATGAACTCTTTTACCAAAACAAAGCCCAGTTCATTACGTACTTCAAATTATATTTATAGGTTTCAGTTTTTCCTTTTACTGACTCTGCCTTCCTAAAAGAGTTAAAATAAAGTTAGCGCAGGTAGATACTTCATTGCTTCAACAAAACTACTGAAAATTACTCAAACTAAACCCTGCAGCCTGCGTGGCAGTGAAGTGATTTGAAAGCTTTAGAGGTTTATTCAAGACCTTTATGTTGGTTTACAAAGCTTTGAATGGCTTTGGTCCTGGTTTGAATAAATGCCTTCTTCTCTGTTTCCACTGAGTTCACATTTGATTTTTGTATGTAGTGCTTTATTTAACCAGAATATTTTAACTGACAGCAAATCATTTGCACTGACAACATGGAGAGCACCCATTGACACACCAAGGCATTCACCATAATAGCGCTTTGCGTGCTCCAGGGTACAACAGCTGTGCCTCCACTCGGGATCTGAACCTGCAAACCCCTGGTTCAAAGCCTCTGTTCCCTACCCCATCCAGCCCAAGGTCCACACTGCACACTGAAACTGAGGAAATGTTTTCTGCCAAGACTAGAGGGCTCCATCTTCAAAAGCCATGACTGTTAAGAATAACACAGGGTTTAGGCTTTAAAGATATTGTGTTTTTACTTCTAAATTCAGATTTTAGCAGACTGCATAGGCCGGCATGTTCTGAAAGAAGTAGAAGGAGAGGAGTTTATGGCTATATGTAAATGTATAGTGGAATTCTAAATAGCATTTTTATTTATTTGCGCCATTCTCTCAGGATGTGCACAGTAGTAATAATACTAATTGCTTACATTTATACAGCACTTTTCTAGACTCTCCATTCAAAGTGCTTCACAGGTAATGGGGACTCTCCTCCACCACCACCAGTGTGCAGCCCCACCTGGATGATGCACCAGAACGCTCCCCACACACCAGCTCTCAGTGGGGAGGAGAGCAGAGTGATGAAGCCAGTTCAGAGATGGGGATTATTAGGAGGCCATGATTGGTAAAGGCCAATGGGAAATTTGGCCAGGACACCGGGGTTACACCCCTACTCTTTTTGAGAAACGCCCTGGGATTTTTAATGACCACAGAGAGTCAGGACCTCGGTTTTACGTCTCATCTGAAGGACAGTACAACAGAAGACGTGGTAGTAAATAGTTTTTTTTTTTTTGCAGGTCTGAGCTGTAAAACAGTGTGCTGGTCATCCTAGGCAGCAGAGCTTGTGATCCAGTGATCCAGTTCTGTGGAGAACACATCTTACCTTTTTATTCAAGGAGATCAGTGCGTCCTCCACATCCGCAACATCAAACAGGTCGTCTTCCTGAAGATCCCAGCACAGGAAAGACAACCATGAAATACAAATCTTAGTAGACAATAGATATATCGTTTGTCCAAAACAGCTTTTACTATACAAATCAATGCAGTATTACCACATACAGTATATGATACAAACTCACACAGCTTAAACAAATTTAGTCTTTTGCACAGACTAAATTTGTTTTAAACTACTTTAAAATGTCTCTTTTAAAAATAATATTTTTATTTATATAGCATCTTTCCAAACCCTAGGACACTTAATGAAGAAAAAGACAAAAATAAAGTACAATTAAAAGTAAACAAAAAATGAAAAAGAGCATACATTTTTTTACAGACGTATGCAATCAGGCAATTTCCTTCCCGATACATCATCATTATTATAGCAAACTATGAAACCTGTGGAATATTTCACTGCCGTGCTCAAGCGAGACATGATCAAGTGTAACAGGGACGAGAATAACAGGACTGCAAATGAGATGTGCAAACTCCTGAATTGACATTTTCACGCAGCTAAATGTAATTCCCCATTAAACCAGCAGATGGCAATGTCTGCAAAAGAGTTACAGCGGACTGTTAATGGGGAAATAAATAATGAAGAGCGTCATTTTCGGTCATTATCATTGCTAGCAACAAACAGTAGAAGTGGTGACAACAGCATTAACAACAATAATAATATTAGAAAGCATTGATATTTTCCAAGATGGTCCCCTTATTGATCAGATTTAGCGTTCAGCTCTGAGTTACAAAATATAATCTTATACGGGCCTAGTTATATTGGTTATAACTACTACTACTAATAATAATAATAACAAGAACAACAACAACTTACAAGAGGGGATGACTGTAAAAGTGATCCCAGAGTCTGACCACATATAAACACGAGCCAGCCGAGGACAATCATCGTCCCTGCCGGTTCAGTGTCCTGTGATGAGGAAGCCCCCGCAGCGCCGGGGGACACCGAGGAGCACGGCCACGTCACAGGAGGGGTCGCCCAGCGACGCGGGGGACAGGGCAGGTCCACTGTGACCTCCGCCACACGCGGGGCCCGGCGGGACACACCTCGCCTGGACGTCAGTCTCGACTCCGACGCACCCAGCTGCGCAACTGGGCGAGCGGTCATGATTAATGCCAAAAGGCATCATTTGCTTTTTAAGATATTTCACTGATTTTCGGGTTTACAACTTACATCCCAGGAATACAAGCAAATGACAATAAGTCACGCCGTGTAAAAACAATGCATTTGATGACACCGGGCAAATACATATTTCGATTTGAAGAAATAAAATTAATAAAGCGGAGGCGGTTAAGTATTGCTGGGGCCCTGGGTTAAGAAAAACGGCGAGTTTGTTTTTCTCCCCATGTTTGTGGGGTTTTTTTTTCCCACCGTCCAAAGACATATATTTAGGCCCTAGCTGTGAGCGTGTGTCTGTGTCTGGTGTCCCACCCGGGGTGTATCCTGCCTTTCGCCCGTTGCTTCCCGGGATGCGACCCTGAATTGGAAGAAGCGGTTAGGAAATGGAGGACTGGCTGATGGGACGGGCTGTACTGTTCACATTTTTAAGGATCAAGGTGCGGATTCAGCCCCAGCAGGCTGTGTTGCTGCTGATCGCGAGCCCTTGACTTGGCACTCTTCCGTATAAAAAAACCCTCAATGGTTCTGCTCTCTAACGCTCAAAACGCACAGAAATATCCAATTGCCAATACTATTGGCCTCCTCTCCGGTGTTGTCGCGTCGGTTTCCGGATCACATGCCGATTTTTCCAGTCCTGGGGCATCATTGGTTGAAAAATGACTCCTTAATAAAAGCTCGCTTCATCGATCAACAAATAACACCGTCCCGTCCGGCGACAGTGTCGCCCCCTCCTGGTATCCAGGTGACGTCAACCCCCACCACCGCCATGGTGCCGTTCCCGTGCTGGGAAAACCCGGCCTCCGAGCATCGCACTGTAGGCTCGTTCCTACCCACTGTTTTAAAATCTGCAGTGAACAATTTTAAGTATTTCTTTGTCCCTTTCTGCACGGTAGATGTGCTGCTTGTGTGTTTTGCCTGCGCGGCGTGTCGCCGGAGACGGGGGGAGAACCGACACACACCCGTGCCGATGAATAGCGCTGAAATGACAGGCGGTATGTACCGGAGCTCAAAGTCCCCTCTGCAGCAGGACCTAAACCTTGCTCGAGTCGTGTTGGACAGGTGCGGGCTTGACTCGGGGGCTGTGTCCAGCCCAGTTTGCACACCCGGGTGTGACTGGAATAGATCTCATGTTGTTGTGTCGGAGAAACCAGGTCACCCAAGAGGGGGAGATTAAAGGCTGTCATACCCGCTTGTCCTCGCACCCCAGACACACAACGCAGTCCACCGGCTGCTCTGAATTGTTAGCTCCCCACCCCGGGACAGGACTGGCCCGCCAGCGGACCGGTTCCCCTCCGGGCGAGCCTCTCCGCCGGTTCTCTGGGCTCGGTGCAATGTACCTTTCCCGTGGTGGGGTTAAAGAAAAGGCACTTTCATTCAGGTCAAACGGAGACATCGTGGAAAATACGGTTTTGAGTTCGTGTGCCCGACAACCGGCACAACCACGGCGTGAATCACGGGGAAATCCCCGAAATCAACCGCCGCCACCCGGTTCACATCGTTAATAACACGTTGTGCTTCACGTTGTGAAGGCAAACAATCGGTGAAAAGGAAACCATGCAGTACAATCGTTTTCATTGCGATTGGGTTGTTGTTTTTTTCTCCCCGAAAAGAAACAAAGTTGGATTTATTGGTACCGTGAATACCCCTGTTAAGAATGGATGTGACAGTACCGGGAAGTCGTTAACAGAAGCGTGAAGCTGGCCGGGATCGTGTCGTGCGCCGCGAGCGTGGGCGCGCCGTGTCCGGCCAGCATCTGCGGGGACGGGTCTCCTAAAACCCTCCACGGACACGCACGGCGGCGTGCAGCCACGCAAGCCGCGGTTATACCGGGGACGCCTCGTCTCCTGCCTATTGCATTACAAGGCGGAAACACGGGAGTGTAGTATTATCCCCATTCACACGTTTGTCTTCGACCTGTACGCTTCTGGAGTGCACAGGGGCTCCCGCCTCCCCGTCCCAAATGCGGGAGTATGATTTCCCGTGCTTAGTTTTAATGACAGAGTTTTATGACCCTACTCTGCAATCTAAGCACTGCCGATGTGTGACGGGGGAGGGGGGTAACAGTTTGGTCCGCACAGCGCTCCGACACACATTTCCACGTGTCCCCTTTAAATCGCAGAGCTCCCGGCAGCGGCCTCGTCTCCTTTAATCTGGAGGATCAGAAGGGTGACGTCAACCTGCCCCTGAGCCGCCAGCTCCGATTGGCTGGAGGTGACGTCAGCTTGTTTTTTTTTCTCTGAAGCATGACCTCATCCTTAGTTCATTTTTAGGTTCTAAAGTGCACCTTCTGTTTTTTTTTTCTCTCCTGAATCGCTAATACCCTGTAAATGCAGATTGCTTATCTCCCCAATCTCGACCACACTCTTGTCTCCCAAACACAGGGAACATTAATTGCTACAATTAAGCGTTTCCTTTCTGTAGTGCATGGTTACCATATCCCCAATAAGCGCAGTGCAGCCTACTGCTGTGGCCGTCGCCCCTACCCCTCTGCCCCCCTCGCTCTCGTACCCCCGATTTGTAAACATTAATATAAACAGGCAGCGTAGCTAATGCGGAGGCGCTTTATGGTCTATAGAAATTAGAGGACCGGCAATCAAGGCTTTGTGGCGGAGGAGGTGAGTTTCTATTTTTTTTCTAATCTGAAGATTTTTAAAATCACATTTTTTTTTTTGCGGCGTGTTTAAATCTCTCTTTGCTATGTCATTTCCACCCCTTCTGCCGGTAGGTACCGGTACAAGTGTTTCACATGGGCATGAGGCAGTAGCGGGAGGTGAACCCCAACTGCTATCAATATCGTATTCTGCGACGCACCATGCTGATGGTCATGTAAATGGTTGCGAGTCCCTTTCGTTTTGTCTCGAATTTCCCCACGGCTTGTGAAATGTGTGGTGACCAAGGTAGGTTAGTCCCCTCTCCTCCTTTTAACTTGTCAGTGTGATCGACCAGATGACTTCGTCTTCACGGTCATTCTGTGCACAATATTGTGCGGCAATAACACAGCTTTCGATCGTATTCTCGGCGGACCTTTGTTAAATTGATTTGTTTTTTACCAAATCGCGTTCTGGCATCCCAACGATTATGAGTTTCTCTTGTGGATCTGCGATTCCAAAATTAAACCAGTCCGATTAATGTCATTATAAAGGCGACGTATGAAATTTGGGTTATTTATCTGAAAGGATTCGGTAAAATTCTAAATTTCCATTAATGATAATTGTAGTAATAGCGTCACGGGCGACGGGATAATCTAAAGACACATTCATTAAAAGGACGACCATTTCTGTTCGTATTGGGAAAACTGTTTTGTTTTGTATCATGTTTTTGTACTGCTGCGTTTTCAACAAAATATCGGCGTTGCTTCTTTTACCACGCGGTGAAAATGAGTGGTTCGTCGTATTTCGAATTGATGTGCTTATGAACATGTCAGTTTTCTCGACATATGATGATCTCTGTGCAAGGCAATGTGTATTTTGTGAATGTTTTGTTTTACAACTTGGAGGCTTGTTATTTATTTTTGGGAAACTTGTTAAACCATTCTAAGTATTGTGTATTAAGTTGTCTAGTAATTAATTTTAAACTGAGTAATTAATCCTGATGGTAGGTCATCTTTTCTTTATTATATAATGTTAATATTCACTAAGTACTTTACATAAGGTGATTTTTTTCTGAAGGCTTTTAATGCCGGATAAGCATTAACTATTGAAGGATAATAATGTTTTCGCCTCCGCACGTATAAAGCACAGTTTTCCTTTCATTGTACTGTACTCGTTTAAGAGAGAATAATGAATTTGTTTTAAAAAATGTGTGAAATATGTATACAAGTTTTATAGTTCAAATAAAAGACCACTCTGTAGTTTCTTAAAAATAGGAGTTTTGTTGGAGGAGAGTTCAATATCTGAGGAGCTGGACGATGTTTCACCTGCTGGTCTAAATTTCGAGCTGTTTATCGTGTTATAGTGTATTTTGTGATATGACTGAAACAGAAGTATATATTTAATAAATTGGTAACAGTATAGTCTGTTTTGTGCTCTCAGGTTTTCTTAGATATTTGCTTAGATACTTAAATTAAATTTAAATTCTTAAATTTGCTTAGATACTGCTTGCAAACGGTATGTACCAAGTTGTCCATTAATTCATCCTGTTTGATAATCATAGCTATCCATTAACAATATCCAGCTGTTCTCGCATTGTGAAGGCATGAGACAGGGGTCTGGGAGACTGGGGCTGTGTCCCACAAGTCATTGCAGTGCAGGCTGAGACAGTGTCCACAGTTTCTCACAGTTTGCCAGTCTGCTTCCTCCTTGTCTCACCGTGTGAAAAACTGCGGCACTGCCGATAGGTTCTCAGAGAGCAGTCCGAGACACTGTCCACGTGTTCTTGCAAACCTGGGACAGAGTGAGACAGTGTCCGCCAGGAATGTCCTGCCCTGTTTGTGGAGGGCAGCTGTGCCTGCAAACTTACATTCCAGCTGGGCTCTTAACTAGCTAAACCAACTGGTTACTGACTTAACTGGATCAGTTGAATAGTTTCTCCAAGCTCTTCAGCTGCGGCTGTCTTAGAGAGAGCTGGGAAACCTGCAGACACACTTACTGGCCTCCAGGACTGGGTGCCTCTGGTGTGCACGGAATTAAAATAATGAGCCCTGTGTGTTTTATACGTCCACATTTCCTTTTCCACAAAGATGGTCCTGAGTGATAATTATAGTTTTTAATATCAATATAATAAACCCCTGCTTCTTCATACCTGAAATTAAAATGTGGTGTGTTAAAATGAAGCACAGTGGAAAACGAAGTATTAGCCAATGAAAGCAAGCCCTTCCAGCAGGCATGTGACTGAGATCCATTTAGCTGTAGCCACCTATCTTCTGGAGAATTATTCAGAATTATGAGCAGCACTGAAGAGACAGCTTATTTGTCAAGGCTTGGGTTTTGAAGGAGGTTAGGTTTTTGTCTCTTGGACATACTTGGTGCTCGATGGTTTAGAAAAAGCTGAGAGAATGACAACAGTTGCACATCATTAACACACATTTCAGATGAGTTGCATGTGCAGATAAAAGTGGTTACAGATGTGGATTTAGTGTCTTGAGACAAAGAGTGACCTTATTTTGCTGTTTTATTGTCATGTGCGTCCCGAATTGTTCACCTAACCTGCTTGTGCTTTGCTGGCATCAGGGTGACCCAGTGCCCAGCCGCGGGCATGCAGAATGCTTCAGTCTTGCCTGACTGCTCTTGTCCAATTCATCTCAGGCTCTGCTTCAACGCAGCTTTATTTGCTGTTTGTTGAGGCTAAGCCTTTTTGTCATGTTTGTTTTTCCCCAATCGTTTTCTGCATATATTTCCTTTACCCTCCTAGTGGTCTTATCTGGCAAGGGGAATATTAATAATAATAATAAATAATAATAATTGCTTACACTTATATAGAGCTTTTCTGGACACTCCACTCAAAGTGCTTTACAGGTAATGGGGACTCCCCTCCACCACCAACAGTGTGCAGCCCCACCTGGATGATGCGACGGCAGCCATAGTGCGCCAGAACGCTCACCACACATCAGCTATTAGTGGGGAGGAGAGCAGAGAGTAATGAAGCCAATTCATAGATGGGGATTATTAGGAGGCCATGATTGGTTAGGGCCAATGGGAAATTTGGCCAGGACGCCGGGGTACATATTAATGCACATGTACTCAGTGTTGTAGGTATATGTGCTCTGTGTGATTTGAGAGAAGCCCTGTTCACGGATTTGAAGCTTGCACAGTTAATGGCTGTGAAAGGATGGTAAAAACAAATGGTACAGCTCATTGTCTTGCATATGAATCCCATTGCTCTGATGTCCTTATACTACATGTGCTACAATTTGCATGGTTTAGGACTGTTTTATTTCCCACATGGCCGTGTTTACATTCCTACCTGCAACGGGTTAAATCTGTTCTCTGCTGTGGATTTCTGAAAGGGGTGGCTTCCCGAAAAATGTTCTTTGTTTTTAACACTATTTAATATTGGAGCACATTAAACAAGATCTGCAGATTGCAATACAAGCAGAACAGCATGCCCAATGGTGGAGTGAATAGGGGCCTGCCCATTAATGAAGTCATCTCCTTTGAAAATACCTGTAAGGCTGACCAGGCAAACAGTGCTAATCCATTGGGTATTGTTTCTCCAGTGCACACACTACTAGGTGACTGATTGAACTCGTAAAGACAAAATGCTGGTCTGATGGATTAAGCAATAAAATGCTCCAAAATCAAAATAATAAACGAAAGGACTCTGTGCTGATGCTGCACACATTAAATAACTGCTGAGCTGAAAAAGCTCCCAAACAAACACAGTCACAGTTACAAAGAAGTGCTGATAAAGTTTAAAACACCAACAGTTAATGAGTAACCAGGCTGTATGACTAAAACTGGGTTTGCTTACCACTGTTTGCTTTAATGTTTGATCTGCCTCCCTGCCTCACTGAGTGCAGATTATTCCCTCAGTGCAAAGAAAAGGAGCTTGTTCCTTGTGTGGATGAGCTGATGCTGATTTGTCAGTGGGGTGATTCTGAAGGGGTTTCCTCCATTGTCGTGGATCCTGTTTAATCAGTCTGTAATCTGATGACTTCACCTTACACCAGGCAGTTCCAAAGAAGGAAGGACTCGAAAGCCAAACGAAGGTCAACACCTTTGCTACATGCTTAGATTGATGTTCTCCAGGCATTTTAATTGTTCTTTACTAAGGGGTAAATACAGTATCAGAAAAAAAGACTTTTTTTCCAGCCCAAGACTGCAGCAGACATTTCTTCTTTAAATTATGCAAATTTGCATTTTTGTAACACTTTTTGTCTCAAATGGTCAGAAACACTCTACGTATACAGTAAGAGAATACCTGCAGTGTAAGAGATGTAGTCAGTCACCTCTGCTTCATTAAGAAGGTAGATGTTCTGCGTCTGAATCTCTGTCCAATCCTGTCATTGCAAGTGGGAACGTGTTCTCAGTTGACTCATATTGAAGAATTAAAATGACTTTGCCAGTTAAATAATGAGGAATCTTTAGGCAGGTCATATTTTTCGCTTGTACTGGCCTTTTGCCACAGGGTCTTGAATAATCAGGTAGTCAAGACTTCACCTTACCATCTTATTTGAGGGATGGAACCTCAGCACAGTCTCTCCAGTTAGCGTACTGGGTTGTTGGTTTAGAAATTCACAAAGGTCTTCCCTCCGGAAATTCCCGGAGGAAAGGCCGCCACCTACTGGTCAGTGCCATTTTAAGCCACAACCTGTTTTTCTTTGCTGGGATTCTATGCTATTACTGAGCAGACCCAGCCATGCTCAGCATCTTAGATCTGCTGACAGGATCAGGCTGAAAATGTAGTGCTGTTTTAATATATTGTATATGGTTCCATGGGCTTATGTTTTTTTTTCTTTCCAGTTGTGTTTGTCAGTCTACTTCTCTTTATTTCAGTAGGATGTTCTCAGTTGCTCCCAAATTCAGTTGCTGAATAATTCATTATCTCTGGATTTGGAAACCTTTTTTAGAAATGATAAAAATCACTGTATAAATTCATGTGTTGACTGGGATTTTTTTTTTCAAATTCCTTTGCACTCTAAATTTATAGAAGATTACAGGGGGGAAGGGAACATGACAAATGGGTATATATTCAATTCGGCATCACCAGTTCATTTTTGGTGTATGTATAACATGCTACGCTGTCATAGTTACTCCTGTGTCTGGTCAGGATACATGGAGACACATGGCCCTGGCTTTTCTGATATGTCCACCTGCTGAGTCTTTCACCTGTCATGGTCTCTTGCTGACATCATTGCAGGCCTGCAGGCTTGTAAGGCAAGCAAGCGCCTGGGCTAGTTTCAGGAGTATGTGTTTGCCTGAAGGTCACAGGCGCCCTGTCTGATGATTCCCAGTCCTTTACCAATCCCAGTCAAATCCCAGTCATGGCCGACTAGGGTCATGACCCGGGCTCGATCCCGCAATGTCAACCTGTGCTTCAGTTCAGTTCTGCAGAGCCCACTGCTGACCCACACTAGATCACGAATAAGATCACGAGTGGAGATCACTACACGCTGTAGTGTTGATTTACCAAGAAGGTTAAAAAACCTGAAGGGTAAAGTCTCACAATTCAGTGCCATACTCAGAGAGTAATGATTTAATGTCCTGCTTTTGGCATTACTCTCTTGCGTGCATGCATAGTTGATTTGCAACAGAATGGACAATGGCTGCTTTCAGTTTGAGTTCGAACGTGAGGAAGGAATATATTATTGTAGCTATCAGGTTGCTCTTAGTCATAGTTACTACTGACTTCATGGTATCACAGGCAGACTCTGGTCTTTTGCCTGTTCCCACAACTGGCAGTTGCTCTGGAGATAGTCTGGCATCTTGTCTGTTAAACTGATCACCATTTACCATTATTTGTTTTCCACTGATTTTCACATTTACCATATTTTTAAACTATACAAAATATTTGTTTCACTCCTTTAGAGCATTCTTCAAGTTATTTTAAAGCCATTAGCCTTTAATGCCCCCAACACTTGGTGAAGTATGAGACCAGGATTCAGAAAGTCTTGAACTCTTCAGGACAGACACGGACAGGCTCAGTAAGTTCAGGTCTGCATGATCTCATATTTTGTTGAGATACAGTATAGAGATATCTGCTAGTGTTTACCTCTTTTGAAGTGTTGCTACTAAGCCTTTGTCAGTTTCTCCTTTAATCCTCTGTTGCTATTCCTATCTGTTTGACTGTAGAGGACTAAGTCATATCACAAGGTTGATTTATTGTTTTCAGTTGAAGCTGATTGGTAAGAGATTTGGTCCTTACGCTTACTGTTTGCTGAAGAGATAAAAGACTTATGTTAGAAGTGCATGCAGATGATACTGTAAGTTTTATTTTAGTAACACAAATGCACTTCTGCTATTCAGAGAGAATGGGTTTTTATAGGTTGTACACTTTGAAGAGAGGACAGTAGGGTAACAGAGGAGGAGGGCGTTATAAAATTGTGACACTGCATTATTAATTAGGTTCTGCGGTTGTATTTGACACTTAATTTAAAATTATTTTTTCACAATTGTGAAGTTCTATATGTGTTATGTTTACGGGAGAAACATAATAGAAATCATCCCGCATTTGTTGTGAGATCTGCAAGATTTAAATACTCTTAATTTATTGTACTGTCCGCTTCAGGTTGGGAGTTTGCCATGCAGCAATTTAGAAACACATGTTTTATTCCCCTAATGTAAGGCTTCATTTTTCAATTATTTAAGACTGAAAATGAGAGAAGGCAAAACAAAAGCCAACATTAAACAATACCACTTCCTTGGTCATTTTTATAGTATTCTGGTTCATGCAACTCACCCACAGAACAAAAAAGAGATTCTCTGTGTTAAATTTTAGGACCTCTATATTTGAATTCTCCAGGGCTTTGGCATTTTAAATGAGGGGCATCACTTAAATTGAATACCGAGGCTTGTGATTCGTGAAGCACAGGATTGAAAACGTTGTCATTCTACTTTAAACTATACATTGTACCCCTGTATGTTTCAGAAAAGTTAAGTTAAAAAATATACAAATACAGTTGCTTTAAATCTCCTTGAAGAGGCATAATAACTGGAACTATAACTATAATAACTGTTCTAAAACAGCATCCCCAGTTCCTAACGCTTCAGTTCTTAGGTTCCCATGCCAACCAGATCATTCCAGCCAATCGTATTCACTCAGTGCCTTTGCCCTTAGTGCCTCAGCTGGTGCTGATGGGAGAAAAACGGAAGCAGCGAAAGAAGTCAAGAGCCGGCTGTTTTGTAAAGCAGTGCAGAAAAGCTTCGGAAAGTGTGGTTGCCAGCTCCGCGTAATGGGGCTAATCTGGTTAGGACTGCAGTGACGAGAGGGAGGTAATGATCCTTGCCTTTTCCCCCATTAATGTGTGCGAAACAGTGCTCCGTGAGGCACGCTGTCACACTGAGCTGCAGTCCTCTGCGCTCGCACTGCGTCGCCAAGTCCGATTCCCCGACTCAGGTGCCACAAGAAACCGGCCGCACCTCTGCTGTGCTCGTCAGGGGAGCCTGTCCCCTGTCCTGTCCTGCTCGTGAGCGCTGGGCGCCCTTGCCTGTCGAATGCGCGGGACAGTGCTGGAGAGCCATTGTGAGGGTAAGGCAGCCTTCTCTTTTGTAATGCCAAATCGCGCTGACTCTTGGCTTTTATTTATCCTGGAGAGCAGGGGGGGGGTTCGTGCTGCCTTGGCACCCTCATCCTTTGTAGAAGAGGGATGAACTGAGGAGCCCGCTGAGAAAGGGGTTTAGTCGGTTTTGATTGTGGTTGCGCTTGGCTCCATTAACAAGAACCTCCACTATTGTATCGCTGAACAAATTCATGGCTCAGTTAGTGTGCCATGTTTTGAGGTGGTCACTATCTTGCAGACCTGGAAAGGCAATATGACAGCTGTAAGAACACTGTAGATGGAGGAAGTGTTTTCAGTTTGTCTTTGAAAAGCCAAAAGCACTTAAAAGCCTTGATGTATATTATTTATACTATTTAATTGAATTGGATAGGTTCAGATATACAGGGTATTTGTTCATTGACAGTGATCAATTTCTATAATTGTGGAATAGTCTTAAGAATACTGTATGAAATTCAGATGAACGATCTGTTCAGTGTCTTAATCTTGTGCATTAATGATAGAGTTAATTTTTTTTACACCCAAGTACAGATGAGCATACATAGGACATAAAAAGTCCTTGTGTAGAAAAATAAGATACAAATAAAAAAAATAAAAAACTAGGATTATTTGTCATCAAAAGTAATTGGAACTTAAAACAACCTTGGACTGAGATTTAGCCGGTGTGTCCTTCATCTAAAAATATTAATCAGATTCGTTTTGTTGTTTTGAAAATGTCATTTTTTCCATGATGTAGATAATATATCTTGAATTTTACAGCGTCATATATACCCTGTCATGAAACACTGGCACATATATGTTGTCGGGAAAGATAAAATGCAGTGCCACATGGGACAAGATCTGGCTAGCCTCGATCACGGTGGATCCGTCTGGAGTGGGTATAAAACGCAGATGAGAAGCTGGGTATGATCGCACTGTTCAGAACTCCTTGTGCTTCTTGCTTTCTTCACCAGAGAGCCTGCTGGGTTTCTGAGCTGCAGTTGCTAGGGCAAATTCCTCTTGGAATTACATCATCTCCCACACAGGAGCCTGGCTGCAGCTGAGCTTCCAGAGGGAACAATGTGAAAGGTCAGTGCAGGTTTGTTGGCAGAGCAGGCCGAGTTTCAAACTGCTGCTGACCTGAGCACGTTCTTCTGAAATACATGTGTTTTTGTAACCTAAGCCCCCCCCCCCTTATCCCCCCCTTTCTCACAGTGCCTCCAGACAGACCTCCGCCCAGCCCTGAACAACCTTCCATTCACATTGCCCTCTTGCCGCTCGAGAGCCCAGCGCCCTCATTGTTTTTGAAAGCGTTCAGACTTGTCACTGAGCACGGCGCATGCCAAAGTCAGATGACGGGTTGCTTTCAGTGGAGAAATCACGCATCCCGTTCCTTAGCTCCTGGTTTTTACACGTATTACTTGTGGCGGTGTCAAGTCAGTAGTGTGTTTGCTTAAATCATTCCTTGAAGACAAAAGGCAAAGAGTCTGGCTCTTTCCTTTCCCAGCTGGAACTCAGTCTCCCAAGGCCCTGCTTACAGGATATGCACCAGTTCTGCACAAGAGGTTGCCGGGTTTTTAGGAAGTTTGTAAGCGGTGTTTTTTATGCATAGGCTCACATGTAAGACTGTTCTGTCTAGAAATGGCTTCTGTATGTGAATGATCTAAAAATATCTCACAGTTACCACTCATTAATTCTCAACAATGTAGAACACAGGTAAATCTTTCAAATTGAGTGGAGCCAAAGGACCCTATCTGTGCTATCAGTTTGTCCAGTACTTTAAGCAGGCCTTTAATGAGAATGTTCCTTGTCTTGAGACTCCTGTTTAAGTCCAGGCAGCCTAGATTGTTCCATCATGCCCATTTCACTGGATGAGTTATAACACTGTCTGCAAACTAGAGTTTGCTGGAAGACAGAAGTTCTTATTTGAGAATTCGTTTTGTGATTATTATGAGCATTAAAATACATTATGGGCAACAATTGCCGGACTCAAAGAAAATATCAATTTTTAACAATGACCAGGTCTAGAATCCAATAAAAGTCAATAAGGAACAATAATAACAAAGTTAAGCTCCCATCTCAGGCACACGTTTGCAGATGTTTGCTAATGAACTTCAAAAAGTCACTGATGTCAAAGAGTTTCAATTTACTTTTGCCCCTTAAATGAATATGAGTACAATGATGTACATGTAGTATTTTCCCCAGTAGATTTTATATTTATATATCATCACAATTGGACCTAGTTTGAGTGTGTGGGAGTCTGCCCTGGATGCAGTGGTGTCCCATCCAAGGTGTACCCCGACTTGTGTCCATCGCTGCCAGCATAGCCTCTGGCTTCCCTCCAACCCTGAAACCTGAAACGGTTAGAAAAAGGGTGGATGAATGGATTCGATATTTTCAGACACTTTTCTCATCTGAAACTGGAAAAAAGCCTAAGACTGCAATAAAATAACCTCTCGACTAGACTTGTCTCTCCCTCATTCTGGTTGTCGGGCCGGGAGGTCCTGTAGGTCTGCTAAGGTTTGTGGGGAGAAGTCTCATTTTAAATTCAAAAAGCTTAATGCATGAGCAGGTTGCAAAAGAAATTTCACCTGTTTTGATGTGGCAGGTTCTCTGTGGTTTTTTTTTTGCTTCGGTTCGCCCTGTCACTGTCACCTTGGCTGTCCCTGGTAAGGTGGCTGCAGAAGTGAGTCATCATTTCATGACACACCAGTAGGTGTCTGTACCAACCAGAGCGTTTGCAGAAGAGCCCCTCAAACCAAGCAGCAGCTGCTGTAAGCAGACGCAGAGAGAGGGGACGTGTTTTGTGATGGATTTAACCAGAGACCGAGGTTTTACTGGGGATTATCTAAAGCCGACGTCTTAAAACACAAACGTGACAAGAAATGAATACACACCGCCTAGACAGGCAGCTTGTGAGACAGTAAAATTTCCAAGAAAATATCTTCTAAGTGAAGAGCTGCACCATTTTCTCTGGTCTGCAGCTCGAGACAAGCTTTTGTTCCGGGTCTCGAATGCTTTTCTGCTGCAAAAAAAAACAAACGAGAGGCAAACTTTTTTTTTCTTCCTTGAAGATTCAGCCTGGGTGTGGTGTTTACAGCAATGCTGCATTTCAGAGCATGTGCACTAAATTATCTTGTGTCAGGAAAAGAGCTGCATTGCTTTGCTTTTGGTTTTGACGCAGTTGAGGGAAGGAGAGAGAGGGGGAGCATGCATTTAGCATGTACTGCGAACTAATATTTTGTTGAATAAATACTTCTTCTGTAGCCGCTGAGTGTTCCGATTTCTTAATGACATTCCCAGGCAGTTGGCTGTCTTCTGCGGAAAAAGAGATAAGGACAGAACATGGATAGTATTTCCCTATTGTTTCATTCAAGGATCTATCAGCTTCTAGCCCTGTCTGTCAGGCTGCATCTTTATTGTCACTACGGGATCATCTGTCAAGTTTTGTTTTTATTTCTCTTTATTGGCGACTGTTACATAAATTAGTGACCATTGTTCGTAGCATATCTCATGCTCGGAGGGTGAAGTAGCTGTGTGAATGTGTCATCCATTACTGTCAGCGCATGTAATTAATGAGCTTGTATGGAAAATAAATGAATGGCTCAACAGCAGTTGATTAGCAGTGGCTTATCTTTTAATGGGTGATATTGCTGAAAGAACACAAGGTTGTGTTACTGTACTCATCTGTGGCTTCACTCTGGACCAACTTCCAAATTGCCAAAACTGAAATGTCATGACTCCATCTTTATTGGTGAACTCTGCACTCTGCACTCTGGCATGTGGCATGTACTACAGTGCCGTTGAGTAACTATGCATTATGAGGTTTCTGGGTTGTGAAGTGTGAACCGAGAGGATTCAAGAGAGTTCAGTAGCAACATTGTGCAGCTCAGCAACCCTTCCTTCCCCGTGAAACTTGAAGTTGTTGTCTGGGGGTGTTCAGACTCCCCACGCCTCCCCTCATGCAAACAGATTGTTAGAATGAGATGCATGAAAATGAAATAAAAACAATTCGGTGCTTCTGTCTGTCCTCTGCTGGCATTAGTGTCAGCTGTTTTTGAAAAATAATCCTGTACAGTATTGCAGCTGTGGAAGTAAATGCACCATAGACGGCTTCCTTCTGCAGCTTCTCTCCAGATTTAACAGCATTTAACCAGCGTTTAACAGGACTGGAAGCAAGGCTGCGTTTGCATATCACTGTCACCCTGTATAAGGTTTTACATTGTGGGTTGTGGCCATTCTAGTAACGAAACAAAGAACTCATATCTCAGCATTTTACCTTCTGTATCTGCATTTGTAATATGTTTAACTCCATATGTCATATTCATCTGTTCAAATTCAATCAAAACATGTAACAGGCATAAGATACTATCCAGGACCTGGAGCTCGCTTCCACACCAGAAGCTGCCAGTTTGAAAACAAACCTGAAATGCCACAGCAAGACGTGGGTCTTATTTTCTATCCCTCGCTAACTTGAGCTGACAGAAGGGTGGGGAGCTGAGATCTCCTGGTTGAGCTGTCCAGCCGGGACAGGTAGGCATGTGTTTCATTAGGGCAGCTGGCTGCACCACAAGCAGTGGGATAAGGAAAGGATCTCAGTGATTAGCAGCTACCGCAGAGATTGGCGTGTGATCACATGGGTCTCCCAAGCTTTGCCAGACCCGACGATGTGCTCCCTGCGTTTGACACACTGTGCAGTTAGAGGGGGGTGGTCTCATGCCCCAGAGGTAAACGCCATGTATGAGATATCCATATAAATATCCTTGCATAATCCGCTGGCATCTGCTAAGGGCATATAGGGGCTGCCAAGATTCTCCAGCACTGCGCGGCATGCTGATGGAAGTGTTCTGGAATTCGACAAGGAGTCCTGAGCTTCTTGTCTTGGCTGAACTCCCCTATTTGCCGAGGCCTGCTTTGGTGGGAAATTGATTAAAGCTGGAGGACAGTTTGTTTCCAGAACTGAGTCTCTGATGGGGTTGGGAAAAATCTGTCTGCAGTTATGGAGGTCTTGCAGAGTATCTCCCCACTCTTGTTCCTCGTGGGGTGCAGATTAAGACGAGTCTGGGGGACAGACTCCCTCGTCCCAGCACACAAACTACTGGGGTGCCAGTGTCAGTAGTGCGGAACAGACACGTCTGTGGTCTGTTCACAATTACTCTGCTGTAGCTGGCAGAAGGTCTGTGTCTTCAGTATCTCCCCTCTTTGAGTGTTTGAGGAGTTGTGCTGAAAATAACAATTGCAAAGAATTTAAAACATTTTGTATTATTTAATGGACTCCTTTCAACAGAGCCTCCCAGAGGTGTCTGTCTAGTTTAAACTTAAATGAGAAGAAATTAACCTCTTATTAATAGTTCCTAGGGAGGTTCTTGGAGGAAAGTGGAAAGAAAGGCTTATTCCCTAGAATCTTCTCATTGGCATTAATTAGTTCATTTTCCTGCCTCCCTTAAGTATTCTGTAATTCTTTCATATTCTGCCTTCAGGATGATTGACTTCTCAGCATAGTCTTGCAAAGTATGTGGCTCTGATAAAAAAAAAAGGCCCATGACACACTGTGTATTTACAATAGAGAACCTGCAGTTTGCACAAATTCTGGATTAATGAGCTAATGTTAGTCCTTAGCATTTTACTGGTCTGTAATATTTCTGGCAGTTTAACAATGTGATCCTTCATTTAAAGTTTAGCTGTTTAATCAGAAAGCACTGCAGCGTTTAGTGGAATTTTCCAGTCCCGGTTGTTTTTGTGTTTCACCGCTGCCTGTTGAACAGCTATTTTCACCGTCCTAAAAGTGACAAAACGAAGCAACGCATTTTCAGGTTTTTGCAGTGGGAAAAATATACCCAAAGAAAAATCTGGTGAATGGCACATGTTGGTTTTTTTTTTAAAGTATTCAATTAATTTTCATCCACTAATGCCATAAAATAATTCAGTCAATCATAACTCATTAAGGGAAAGAAAGAGGGCCCAGGTGGCTCATTATATGGATGACAGTTCGTTGCTCTCAAACATACTTCTGGTTTTATTCAGTGGAGTCCAAGTCTGTGCTCTGTGTGATTCCAGTCTATAGATTCTGAATCCCAGTTTCAAGATATAATAGAATCATCTTTTCATAGGTTTGTTGAACGTACGTTCATTTCCGAAGCTGTGTGCTCATATTTCTGTGTATGAGTCAGTGTGCCATGAATAACCATGAAAAATTGAATTGAGAACATTTTTTACAACAGGATAAGGAGGTGTTGAGGCTATAGAAACAGTAAAATATTTTTAGAATTGGCTTACTGTTATGATGGTATTGCTGTATTAAGATTACCAACTATGAACATAGTGAGTATTTGGAGATTCTATTTTATGAATTGGATACTGTAGCATGGCACTGCAGTGTTTAGCATTCCAACCTCTCAGTACTGAGGCCCTGGGTTCAATTCTGGACCTGGGATGCCATCTGTGTGGCGTTTATATTTTTTCAACCCTTCTATTTGCCTGGATATCTTCTGGGAGTTCCGGTTTCCTCCCACAGTCCAAAGACATGCTGGTATGTTAAATGGTTTCTGGGAAAATTGGCCCAGGTGGGCGTGTGGGCATGTCTGTGTGTCTGCCTTGCAATGGACTGGGCGTATCTTGCCTTAATGCCCATTGCTTACGGAGATAGACTCCATAGCTCTCCCGTGACTTTGTATTGGAAGACGTGGTTAGAAAATGGATGGATTTTATGAATTTCCAAAACTTATATTGGAAATCTAGCATTACTATATAAGGTGAAGCAGGGTTCTAGAGATTGCTGTCAAAGACCATCAGAAAATAAAGACAGTTTTATGTCTGTCTCCATCGGTGGCCAGATGGGTTTGCAAATGCAATATGAAATCTACAAAAGTAATCATTTTTTTTCTCATGTGTTACAAGCTCACAGCAAACGCTTTAAAAACAGTGAATGGATTTCTTGTCTCATCGCCATTCTTCAATAACTGTGTGCTCAAGGTGTTAGCCGTACTGCCATATGTATTGCCATAGATTGGCAGTTGGATCCAGCCCAGATGTGTTTCTATGTTGTTGAACAATAGTGGGACCAGCTGGTACATTATATCAGACTAATCGACAAGCCTCATCATGAGAAAAATCTCTGTGTGAATGTGTCGTTGCTTTTTTTCCTGTGGAAACTGGATAAAAAGGAGAAACTGTACAGAGCAGCTTTTGAGCAGCCCCAGATCCTATTGATTGGAAAGTGGACTAAGAAAGCATTTGCCTAGATGCAATAAAATGCAAATGCATATGGGTGCTGTGCTGACTACACAGAATTACTAAAAGGGTCAATAGTGGCTCCATTTGGCTACACCAATGTTTTAGAAGGTGGGCTTCGAATTGAGCAAGGTGCACTGTCTGTACAAAGACAGGAAGTTGCAGTCCATCAGAAGGCTAGCCAGGCTGTCGCCTCTTCATATTGATCAAGAATCACCAGGGCTGAGATGAAGTTAGTCAGAGTGTCCTTAGATTGTCATGTGACTGCGACCCCTTGGGAGTTGCCTGTGCTGTGCAAGTTTGAGTCATTTCTGCTAGAGCCACTTTTTTCCTCTAGTTGACCCTGACTTTTAGGTGAAGCACTTTGGGATTTGTAGTAGTAACAATTGGTGAAGGCCTGAATAAGAAAGTCTGCACAGTCCCGATCTTACCTCCACTGTGTCCCTGTGTGTCTTACTTTCCAGGGTTTGGAATCTGGGATTTTTGAAAAAAAATGTCTAGACTATTTTCAAGAGAAATGTCTGTCATTTTCTTTCACATTTCTCACAAAATGTGCTGCACTAAACTATGAATCCAATATTATTTTCTCTGCTTCTCTTCCAGGACAACAAAACCAATGGAGCTTGCACATTAAGACTGGTTTTAAATACACAGTATTAATTTAATGGGCTAGAGTAGAGGGTTCCGTCAGCCTGCAAGATGCAGTGGAACAAGTTAAAACCGAAATCCCCAAAAATCCCTCAGTGCTTGAAAAAAGAGCTGCTGATGTGATGAAAATGGAAACAAGTTAAAATTACTGAGGGAAGGGAAAATATTGAACTCAATAATCAATTCCAGAGAGAGGCAAATAGGGCTTAGGAAGATGTCATGGAAAAAACGATGTGATCACATGGAAAATATGGAGAGATATGGAAGATTAGATCTTTCATGTGAGAAAGATAAAGGACAGACAGGAAAGAGAAAAAACAGTAGCAATTAATGGGCAAAGACGGAGAGGTCTTGACAGAGCCAGGGGAGGATTAGAACAGATGGAAGAAGTCCATATGAAGAGTTACACAGAAAAGAAAAACAAAATATTGAGATGGAAGATGAAGATCAGTTCCTAGTGTTTCAAATGTAGAAATAGACACCGAAGTCGGGGAGAAGCATGGGAGATTTATGTAATACTGGCTGAGCTATCTTTGAGAAGGATCTTTTGTGGGGCAAAATAAAAGGAACAAAATCATTTGGGATGTAAAATGTGTTTTTTGAAGTTGTCAGGAGGGGTTGAGCATGAGTGGTTTTAACATTCCTTTTATCAAAGGTTATACAAACGACATACCTTTAGGCCTAAAAAATGAAGAGTCATGAAAAATAACTCCAATTCCCCTTGAATTATACAAATGACTTTGAGCAGGTCATTTTGCAATTACCTTGTTAACGTGTTTACATGTTTCATGTATCTATATTTTCTTAGTAACTCTAGTTCAGTTACATGAATAATGCTGAATGAGTGAACTAGGGTTTGTGACATCTCTCACTGGGTCTGAGATTTTCAATGACCTGCTACTTCCTCTATTTTAACTTTTTCTAAAAGTGTTGCTGAGATGTTTTGTTAAATGGGGCATTTCAGTCTAGGGAGATTATCACAGTTTTTGGGTTAATGTCCTTGTGACCCTGAATTAGGTTATGCAGATTAGAAAATGGATGAATGGAGATTATGTCAATTAATAGAGCAAAGATCACGTGTACAGATCAGTATACATAGTTTACAAGCTTGTTGATATGTGTGTATGCAGAGTTGGGCAGCCAGATGGTTGTCCTCCATGCTGTGTTGTGATGAGCTTCAGTATCAGCACAGGCAGGAACCCTGACCTGCCCAGGGAATGGTGTTATTCAGGTGCCAGGGCACAGAATGAGCCATTAGAAGGAGTTGGAGCTCAGGTGTTAGTGGTACTGCAACAGAAAATGCAGTGCATCGAATGAAAAAGGTTCTCTGCTGCTTACATGCAAAACTCAGCACAGACAGATCTCCCATACTAAAGTATCCCTCCATCCACTTTCTATCCAGCTTCTTTCAGTTCCTCGTCCCCAGGGAGCCGGAGCCTATCCCAACAAGCAGTGGGCACAAGGCAGGGCATACCTTGGGAGGGACACCATAACATGCACAAATTCACTCCAGGGCTAAGCCATTTAACTTGCCAGCATGTCTTTGGACTGTGGGAGGAAACCGGAGCACCTGGAGGAAACGCAAATACAGCGAAAACTCACAAACTCCATGCGGGTAGCTCTTCAGGAGCTGATCCCAGGATCACAGTGCTGTGAGGTTATAATTCTAACCACTGCGCCACTCTTGCATAGCAGTGATCTGTATATGACACATCTAACTGAGTGAGGGGTCGTAGTTTTATTATATCCTTGCGCTCATCGCACTTAATATTCAGACTCCTGCAGTGTCTCCATCTAAGTACCTCACAAATATTCCATCTGCTGTGGCATAGCTGGCCTGAGGCTGTGGAGTGGGGCTTGTTATTGAATGTCTTTCCTGCTGGAGAGGCTCAGTGCAGATCCAAAAATATGTCAGCCATCCTCTCCAAGCAAATGCATCCTGTTTTCCAATTTAGAGGTGTGTTTGTTTTATTGTTCTGAAATTGTCTTAGATTGATTTAAAGGATCGCGTCGGTGAAATTCCATGTGTAGACGTACGTGTCTCCACCTGATCTTGTCAGGAGGGAGAGGCTGAGCAGGGCTTGAGCTGAGTTCTGAAATGCAGGATCTCAGAACAAAGCCAGGCTGCTGCTCGTGGCCCAGTAGACAAGTAGAACCCTTCCCTCTGTCCAGGAGGTCCAGGTCCAGCACTCCAGGGTCCACACAGGAGACACTGCTGCAGGAGGGGCCATGGATTGGATGAGGTGTTAAATTGAGGTCCTGACTGCTTTGGCCATTAACGATCCAGTGAAACAATTACAAATGAAAATCTGAAATTAAGTATATTTGCCTTGGGATTTCCTTTTGAGTTTTCTTTGTTGCACAAAGACTCGTGTGAGGCCCCCCAATCAAAAGCAAAACAGATTTAGTTTTCCAAAGCTTCTTCCATTATTTTTTTACAAATATTTTCTTTAAAGGTTATGGAACTTCTTAGGAGCTATGGTACTGATAATGTTCTCTTGTGCTCTCTTCTGTGCCCAGAGATGAGGAAATGGATGGTATGAGCCCACTGTCCATGGCTCTCCTGTGATCCTGCCTGCCCGGTGCCTGCTCTCCGCCTGCTCTGCTCGGATCGCCCCCTGCCTGCAAAGACTCGCTCCCGCCAGCCAGCCAGCCCGAGCCATGGCCGAGGAGAAAGTCCGCCGCGACCTGATGGACACGCGGCGCCTGGCCAGCCTCCTGCAGCGCGGCGTGGAGCGCCCCCTGGTGATCGACAGCCGCACCTTCTCCGAGTACAACACCTCCCACGTCCTGAGCTCCGTCAACGTCTGCTGCTCCAAGCTGGTGAAGAGGAGGCTGCTGCAGGACAAGGTGTCCATCACGGAGCTCCTGCAGCCCAGCAGCAAGCTCAAGGTACAGCTTGGATCGCCTCTGACCCTGTCTTCCTCGCTCCTGTCCGGCGGTCATTCCCAGTTTCACAAGCCGCATGCTCTTGTCCATCCACTGACCGTATCCTTCTCCTGACCTCCTGTAAACCCCCGGTGACAGACTGTAATAAGGCCAGAACAGATACAGTCTGTTTGCTTTGTCTGATTTATTGAGGAATAGGGGGCACAGCTCAGAAGTGGTCGACTAGAATTGAAACGTGTATAGAAACAGACCACGCTTTTGCTGGTGAGCTCAGGCCTTGAACGCTTGGCAGTCTATCCCTGCTGATTGACATGCGTGGAAATTTGGAGTGTAAAGAAACCAGTTACGTGTTGGTGTTTCTATTTTTTGTTAAATTTAAGAAGAGTATTTTCTGTTTCCCTTTCATTAATTAAATGTTAATGAAATCTTTCCTGCCTGTGTCTCAGTTACGTATCAGCCTGTTCCCTCTGTGCTCCCTTTCAATAAAAAGAATAAGGGGGCAGGGAGGTCTCCTGGAGCTGTTGACCTAGAACTACACAGCATTTCGTAGCTTTATGTGAGAAAAGTAGATGCCTTCATGCAGATTGATTGAAGGCCAGGAATGCAGCTAGTGAAAGAGTGTTGTTTAAATGATTACTTGTGCTTTGCTTAATCAGGTTTCTTTCTACACATAGCATGAAAAGGATATTTGTGTGTTTAGTGAGTAAGAATCTTGTGTAACTCTTGGTCAAACAATCCACCAGATAAAGCCTCCCAAAAGGCAGCTTAAAAGGGAGCCCTGCAGCTCAATGCCTTTGCTGTGCGTGAATGAAAAGGAACCTGAAGCAGGTGACCCAGCTCTAGCCTTCACCCCATCTGAATGAAGGGAGTACCAAGCAAGGTTAGGTCGGAAGGCTGTGGTCCCTTTAAGAATCCCCTGAGTCCTCTTTCGCTTTGCCAGCCTCTACAGCTGGCCGCCTTTCATGATCTCCCTGTTTCCCCGTAAAGAGGATAATGCCAGCGATTAATGAAAGGCTGGATCAGGCTGGAGCTGTCCAAAGGGGGCTCTTTGTGATTGGTTCAGCATGACATCATCCCCTTTGTGTAGCCCGCTGGCAGGCTGGTGGTGGGGCACGTGCAGGGAGGCTGCTGAGAGCTGGCACAGAGTCCGCCGTTGCCCTCACCCCCCACCTCGCCTGGGTGAAGGGATGCTTTCGCTCCAGGAGAGAACCCATGAATAGAGGACGTGGCTAATTTTAATGAGCCGCTCTCTGTTCATGTTAACAGTCCACACACCCCAGTCAGTCATTAACTTATAGTTATAGCTAATTTCATCTGCTCTTAACAGTTACTTAATGGGTTGCAGGTCATGTATTATCTAAGGAACAAGTAATAGGTTTATTCCGTGCTGAAAAAAAGAAAAGAGAAAACAGAATGTTTCGGCCGTGGAGCCTTCATCTCTTTTCTTTTTTCAGCATGGAATAAACCTATAACTTGTTCCTTTGCAGCCTACACATGCTGACGCCGCTCCCCACCTGATGTATTATCTAAGATCACTTAATTGGCCATATACAATTTGTTTGTATTAGGGATTTGTCTTTTGCCCCTGGAGCAGCCGGGGTGAAGGGCCTTGCTCAGAGTAGTAGGATTCCTCTGCCGGCCGCAGGATACGAACCGGCGACCTTCCAGCCCCAGGAGCAGATCCGCTCCGCCCGTTATGCCACTGTTCTCTCAGGGTTGTGAGCCTGTTAGAGGGCCTGTGATTTATGCCTCTGTTGTTTCAAACGGGCCCTAAATGGGGAAAGCCGTGATGTCAGGGCTCCCGCACTGTCACTCTAGCGCAGCGTCGTTCATCGCCAGGGGTGCGCTCAAGTCCTGTTTCTTACCTGTGCAGGTCTCCATCACCCTCTCCCACAGCCTTCGAGTTGTTTAAAGTATTCCCCAAATATCTCACGCGGTCTGGTAAGATAGTTTAATATCACTGTTGTAGACAACATCTAATGCTGGGTAGAGTTTACTTTGGTACTGTATGACCCAGTGCTTGAACTGGGTCTGCTACAAACTCATGTTGTGATTTTGATTAGAGTTGTGTCAGAAACTGGTAAAAAAGCAGAGTAAGCAGTAAGCAGTAGTGTTATAATAGGAGATGGTACTGCATTATTTGGTTTAATAATAGTTGTTATTGTTATAGTGGCCTTATGGAACTTTTCAAATTCCGATTTACTATGCTGAAGTGAACTTTTTACAAAACACATCTCATTTGTGGTATCTAGCATTTGCAGACTTTGAAAATACATGTCTCTGATTCCTTCTGTGATACGGCATGCAAGCAGTCATGACATCTTCACATGACTTTAAATAGATTTCTGTGTCAGCCTTGGGTCTCCTCCAGCAGAGAGTGGTGAAAATGATCGGATTTAGTTAATAACCTGACCATATTTAAAGACGCTCACATAAGGTCTGCTAATTACATCCATTTAGCTAGTTACCCTATTTTTTCTCCTGTTCATCCCCATGCCTCTCAGATTCCCCTTCAATGAAATTGTAACTGTGAACGGTTGTGACTCTGGCAGGAGTGCCTGGGCTGATTTCATCAGGTGGTAAAGGCGAACATGAATTTGAGTTAGCTTGCATCATCCTGGTTTGAAATTTGAGGCTATTTTTCACCAGTGCTCTGCCAGTGAGCTTATTTTCACAGCGAAGTGCTAGCCAGTCCTGGCTCTGTGCTGATCCTCAGTGCTGAATGTACTAATGAGCCAAGATGACAGATGGCATATATCGATCCACAGGGAAACGAATGCTGCCGACATTGAGAGCTGGCAGTGTAGTGCAGCACCATGGGACCCTGCCTGCTGCAGCTATCTGGTGCAGAAAAGCAGGTTTGCTTTGTTTTTAGCAGTGAAGCAGCTCAGCCTCATATCTGCAGAGGCATCGCCCAGGATTATGAGTCCAAGCCTGCAGGTGTTCTAAGATTAAAGTTGTGAATCTGGCTCCTACACTAAAGGGGTTTCATGCTTTGACAGGTGCTGAGCATTACGGGATTCCACTCCGGCCACATTCCTCTAAGCCAGGACAGAAAAGCAAAGTGAAACTCCCACAGCATAGAAGTTTGATCCAATTCAGTCTTGAGAATCTACTGCATGTACAGTCTCATGTTCACACTGCACTGATGAAGAAAAGAGGAAATCTATCTTTTCAGTTCCCACAATGACTGATCTGTGGTACAAATGCTCTCGAATTATTTTTAAACTTTCAATAAATATTATAAAGAAACTGCTCATTAATCAGGCAAATCTTGAGGTCTTCGTAATCAGCATTCTGGGAATGATTCCCTGGCTGTTGCTGGGGGTTTCTCTTATTCATTTCATTAGTGCATACAGACTCCTCGTTGGACAGACTTTTTCTGCTCTCACGGTGCTTGGGGCAGGAAACTACTAAGCATTACTCTTAACAGTAAAGTTTATTCCATGAGAAGTGATAGTTCCTGGTGCTATAGACCTTTGGATTTGTAATAACATAGTTGTGTACAGAAAGACATCATTGTTTAGTCACGTCTAATCTTTTAAGTGTATAATCAGAAGCAGTTTTTCTAACATGTCCAGGCATGTCCACCATAAATTGTAGTAACGCTGAGTACTGTGTACTGCCCCTCTTAATATTGGAATCATGGCTAATTAATTTTTCTTTATCTGTGTATGTTTCCACTTTACTTGAAGTATAAGGGATAAAGTAGGTAGGCAGACAATCCTGGATGCCTGAGATAAAACAACAAAACAAGCAATTCTGTTATCCAAGCTTTGATGACAAAAAGCTCTTGTAGCCTGTGCTAGTATGTATCCTTTTGTTCAGTGCTCTCTTGGAAACTTGACAAGAAGAAAAAACGTTTTTATTATTTTCAGTTTCCCTTACTGGCAGTGTGCAAAATTAAACCTGGAACAAGGTGACATGTGACCCTGAATGTAGTGACCTGGCTGTGAATATATCCAGCTTTGAACAGGCTGGTGCAGCCATGATCCAGAAGGCCTGCAGTCTAAGGTTTTGTGGGTCTCTTTAAAGCTTTGATGCTTCGGACACTGGGAAAAGCTGTTTAATTGACACAGTTAGTCTAGGTATTAGGGGAATTGCACAGTTAAGAACCAGCCTTGAATCAAAATTGGCAACAAAAACATCCCCTGTGTCAAGCAATAAGCAGTACCGGAATTTGCAAAGTGGGGTCCTTCAGTCTGGAAAATGAAGTCCACAACACCTACCCTGAGACATTACTGATAGTCTGCATGCATGTCCAGTTACGTAATATAGTTACGCCATGCAAACGGAAGCATTAAAACCCTGACAGGATTAAAATCACTTGAGGCCCAGCATTGAATGAACAGTTCACTGGTCCCATCACAGACAGTGCTGCCACTGTGAGCCCCACTGCAGTGTGGAGAAAGGGAAAATGCATTAGAAAACCCCTTCTGTGATGTTTGTAAGTGTGGATATACAGTAGTAAAGGTGTCATTCAATATCAACATGATGTCAGTTGGATAGACATCATACAAATGTGTGTGTGTGTGCTTTAATACCTTCTTAAGTATTACGCACTTTCATAATCATTTTTGATTATTAAAAATGATTTCATTACAAATAAAAAAAATGATTGTTGTTTATTTGCTAGAGTTTAATGTTGCATAAAATTGATGCTTAAATTGCTGCCCTGGGGATGAAAAAGTATTTTCAATTGAGTTGAATTCAAAGGTGTAGAAAGTCGCCGAAACAGTCTGAACGTGGAAGAGCCTAAAATGCTTAGGGCAGATGGGAGCTTCACAGAGAAATAAAACATATAAAAGGCATATCTATATATCCAAGAAGAGGTGGGGGGACATAATCATATCCTTTTGGTTAAGACCCTCCAGAAGGAATTGCATTTGAGGAAGAGCAGGTGAAGAGAAGTGTCTGCAGCAGTCCTTGAAGCTGAGAGCTGGCGCGGAGCTGGAACATGCTGTTGCCAAGCCACACTGGTTTGACAGCCATCGGTGGGCTCC